TAAATTACCTCTTACAAAGGGCCTCAGTGGCCAACCCATTCAGAATCCCTCGTGGAAATCCAAAAGTTATTATTCTCTCCTTATTTCTAATAAAACTCTCATAACTTTCTTCCTTTGGTTCACAACTTCATTCTTCTATGTTGTGGGACCACAAACTTGGCACATTTGGTATCTAACAGGTCAGGAGTTAGATATCATCTGGTGCCAAAAATGTTGAGGACTGCTGCTTTTCCCAGAGACCAGCAAAGCATGGGAAGGGACGTCCCTAATCTTTGGAAGTCACCCAAAGAATTACATCCTTAATTATCTCCATCAGGCTGGATGTACCTAATATGACTCTATATGGGACATAGTTTAAATAAAAAATTTCAACCAGTTTTGCACATCGCACTGTTTATTGCCCCATATCCTAAAGATTGTCCCAGTTGTATTACCTAATCTGTGATTACCTAAGGATTATTTTCAACAGCATCATGTTTGTGACCAAGTCATTAGGGACACCTCCAGAGGGCAAAGAGGGTAGAACTTAAAATTTTGTCGTGATCAAATGGTAGGCCAAAATAAGTTCAGTGCTCATCGCAGGTCCTGTAGATGCCCTTGATTTGTTTTTATTTCTTTTTATTTTTTATTTTTGGAAAGAAATGATGAAAAGTCATTGTACCTGGAAAAGGTAAACAAACATTTCTAATTCGTGCCTGAAGACACTCCTGAGGGTGTCTTGGTGTGAGATGTGGTCGTTATGACTCGTCTAAGGACACTCCGGGCTCGAGGAGAAGCGACACAGGCAGAGTCCGCCAGTGCACTCGACCCAACCCGGGACTTCCAGCAGGAGAAGGGGCGGAGCCAGCACTGGACTGATTCCCCCGTCTGGCGCGCAGGTGGTCAGGGCTGAACTTCCGGCCGGCCAGGAACTATTTCCGGATCGGCGGCGATCGCGTTGCGGTCTCGGTGGAAACTGCGCTGCCTGAGCCTTCGCCCTGGGCCGAAGCAAGCCCGCGGCCAGCGATGCTTGGGGGCGGCCTCGGAGCCTGGGACCGCGAGAAGGAGGGCGACGCGGTGGGTGCTGTGGCCGCGCCGCCCACCATCGACTTCCCCGCTGAGGCCGCCGACCCCAAGTATGATGGTGAGTCGCCAGAGTGTCACGCGCATCCCGCGGCCCTGAACACCGGTGCTCCCGTGCAGGTCGGGCCAGCAGTGCGGGGCCGGGGACCTGGGCTCATTCGGGGCCTCGGGCCTTGCGGGGAGGGGCGCGGACGGGCTGGCGAGCTAAGGTAAATATTTATTGAAAGAGCGTCTGCGACTTGTTCCTTTTGTTCCTGTTCCTGATTTCTGGGGACTGAGGCCTTTGGCTGGGGAGCACTTCCCTGAGGCCACTTCCCAGCTCCTAAACCCTATGGTTTTGTCAGTCCTTGAGAATGATCTTCGTCCACTATATTCGCTCAACAGCTTAGCTAAGAATTCTTAATGTGTAGCATTTCTTGTCTTTTGATTTATTGCTAGTTTGGTAATGATTTTTTATAGTGAGGCAGTGTGGGCAATGCTCAAGTTTTCTTGAGACTTTTGGTTTCTAGGACATGTGGCATAACTAAGTCAAGTTACCAGCGTGAAGAGAGAGGTCCTTAAAAAGATCTAACCAGGTCAGGGTGGTCAGTATTTTACTGAAAGTTCAGGAAGGTCGTTAGTTGTTACTAGTTGTTTTGGCAAATACTGGAGTTGTATCTATAGCTTAGTGGTAGAGCTGGTGCTTAGCACAAATAAGGTGCTAGCTTCAGTCCCCAGCACCAAAAACCAAACAGAAAGAATGAATACATTGATTCAAGGAGGTTTTAACCATGCAGTAGTCCTAAAGCGGTGATTACAGAGAATACACATTCAGTCAAAGCATGAAATAAATATGACTGTGTTGTAATAGAATTAACGGTACAAACAAATTGAAAAGTTTTGGAAAAGTTTAAGGTTCAGGGTGAGGAACCTGAGGAATTTACAGAGAAAGATTGTAAGATAACTATTTTTAATGGATATGTAGATTTTTTCTCTCCAAACATCAGGTCGTATGTTACAGCAACTCATTAGTATGGAAAGTTATATCATAGGAAAAGTCCCAGCTGTAAACATGCAAGTCTGTCTTTTCTATGATAAGAGTTTCTGCAAACTAAAGATTATTCTTGAAGGGAGTAATCTTAGATAAACCTTTAAATTTTTTCTTCCCTTGCTTTACTGATAATACTGTTGTGCTTAAGTATTGCTTAGAATGTCCAGACACAGTTGTTTTTAATGAAAAATAAGGTCTATGAAAAATATCATTTCTTTTTAAAAATTAATTTAGTTTTTGAGAGAGGCTCTTGTGTTGTCCAGGCGGACCTGGAACTCACTGCCCTCCTGCTGCAGCCCCAAGTGCTTCCTTCTGCTGCTCTCAGCTTCCTTTTCCTAGGGCTTGGGGCATGCTGTGCGGGCACTCTACCACCGAGCCACTGTCCCAACTCCTTTTTATTTTGAGACAGCGTTTAGCTAAGTGACTGAGTTGTCCCACTGGGCTTGAACTTGCCATCCTCCTGCTTCAGCCTCCCACAGAGCTGAGATCACAGGCCTGCGCCACCACCATCTGACTGACGTTTTTTATTTTAGACCTGGTTTTACATTAGTATTTCCTTTGTGACAAATTAGCCTTTAAAAACATTAAGACTATATAACATTCGTGCTATGATTTATTTGGACTTTGGCTGTATTGTTTAAAATAATTCGAGTGTTTTTTATTTTGGTCATTAGAAATAATGAGTTGGACATCTACATACCCAAATATTTGTCTGTTTCTGATGATTTCTTTAGAATAAATCTACAGAAATAGGATTGATGGATCAAAGAACAAGTTTTTAAAAAATTTTTGATACAGACAAGAAAGGTTGTATTGGTTTATATGCCCACCTGTGAAACCACCTCGCCTTGCTTTCGTTAATATTATTACTTTGTACTGTACTTGTTTGACTTGGTGATATTTATGAATGTCTTTTTGAACACTGTCATTTCTAACAATGGCAGTAGTATTCTATTGTACGTAAAATTTCTTTAACAATTTTTCTATATTCTAAATAGCATTATGATGAAAATCTTGTGCTTTGTTTAATTGTTTCCTGGGTATCATTTCCAAAAGTAGAATTAACAGGTCAAAGTTTGCATATTTTAAGTTCTACAGTGTATTGTTAAAGGTTGTAAACACTTTTATACCTCTTATGTTCTAACATGTGTGCTTTTCTGTGCCCTTGATAATAACAAATATTCCAAGCTTTAAATAGTTACCAATCTGATTGGCAAACTGTAATGTGTTATTTTATTATTTATTATTATTATTATTATTATTATTATTATTATTATTTTGTGGTAGTGAGGATTGAACCCAGGGCCTTTGCACTTAGTTCCTACCCTAGTCCTTTTTTAGTTTTTATTTTGAGACAGGGTCTCTTAAAGTTTCTAATTGCCCAGGATGGGCTAGAATTTGCTCTTTTCCTGCCTCAGGGACCCAGAGTGCTGGGATTACAGACATGTGCCAGCACTCCTGGTTTACCTTAGTTATTTTAATGTGTCATTAATTACTAGTTACGTGAAATCTATTTGAATTTTTAATTGTGCTTTGTTTCATTAGCTTGTAAGAGCTCTATAACTTTTTTTTTGGTCATGTAAAATACAGATATATGTGCTCTATCTAAATTTGTGATTCATATTTCTTTTCTTTCTTTTTTTTTTTGGTACCGGGATTTGAACTTGGGACCTTGTGCTTGCGAGGCAGACGGCAGAACCACTGAGCTAAATCCTTGGCCCTGTGATTCATATTTCTAACTTTAAGATGTTTTCACATAGAGAAGTTTTTAGCTGGCCACATGTTTCATTCTTTTTGTTCCTTTCCTGTGCTTAGACGTTAAGTATTTATTTAAAATGAGTAGTACATCTGCATATATGCAGGTCGTGCCCATCCCCCCCAAATCCCTTTGACCATCTGTAGGTCAGAGAGGATATTGATGATTGAAGCTTGAACTTAAAATCCAGGACCCTTAGTAGTTGGTAGAGAAGAGTGGAATAGACTGAAACAGTGCTACCTGAAGTGTAGGAGATAGAAAATTCCATGTATCGACATTGTTTCCAATTGAATAGTTCACAACTCCTGAGAATTAACGTGTCTGTCTTTCCTCTGACATGCTCCCTACCATGCTCATTAACATCTCACCCTCCATTCCTTGTGTTTTAGGCCTTGGCCCATCCATTTCTTTCTTGATATCTTTGGGATCTATTTTTTCTTCTCTGTTTCTGAAACTTACACAGTTCATCCTAACCTTTCCTAGTTTACTGTATGGGTCTACCATATGTTCCCAGAACAATTTCCTCAAACATTTTTCCTTTATGTTTTTTACCGGTTGAGTAATCTTCAAACGAGAACTTGAGCTTTATGTGCTAGCTCATATACCTGCTTGGGCTCACATAGTGGAAAGAGGACCGGTTTGGGAGTTAAATCTTCCTGATTGACTAGCTCCTTGACTGCTTGAAGATCGGTGTCTGTAAAATGAAGATGGTAACACTTTATTTTGTGAGGATTAAAGGAGGTTGTGTCTGTAGATAGCATGGGGTCAGCTTAAAAGTTTCTGTCCTTCTTTCCTTCTCTCCCTTGCCAACCTTCTGTCTTTATGTTTGGGCGTCAAAAGAAGGAAGCCATCTCATTCCCAGGTGCTAGCTTGCTTGCTTTCATATTAATTGTTTTGTTTCATTCTCCCGTTGCACACACTGCCACTACCCAACTGTTTCCCCTCTGCCTTAGGGTGTATTGCTTCTGGTCCTCCAGCTTCCAGAGCTCAATTCACACTTAACTTCCAGAAAGCATTAACCCAACTTGACATAACTCCTCTTTTGTTTTTTATTTCCTTACAGTGAAATAATACCTGTTTTATTAGTTAGAATATGCTCTTCTGTTATATGAAACATGCTTACCAATACATTTTTTCTTTCCTAATTTTTAGAATCTGATGTTCCAGCAGAACTCCAGGTATTAAAAGAACCTCTGCAACAGCCAACTTTCCCTTTTGCAGTTGCAAACCAACTCTTGCTTGTCTCTTTGCTGGAACACTTGAGCCATGTGCACGAAACAAATCCAGTTCGTTCAAAACAGGTGTTTAAATGTAAGTAAGAATAAATTGATCTTGCTAAATAAAGCTTTTAAAAATACCACATCGTTTAATGGTGTGAGTCTGACAAGGAGATGGTGTACAAAAATGGGTGTATGGGCTGGGGATTTAGCTCAGTGGCACCATGCCTGCCTCGAAAGTGCAAGGTCCTGAGTTCCATCCCTGGTCCTAAAAACAAACAAACAAAAATGGGTGTGAAGTAAATGTGAAGAGTTTACATTCCTTAAATTCATTTTATATTTTTCTTTAGATAATTCTTTGTGAAAATTATCACTGGTAACTCTAGAATTATATGTAATTGAATAAGTAAAAAATAGTTATTTTGCATCTGTACTTCGATATTTGCATGCCTTTTGAAAGCCTATTATGGTTTAGTTGGCGAGCAAGTGAGAGAAAATCCCATGCACTCTCTCTGAACCAGTATTAACCAGAGGACTAGAACAGCTGCGTATGGTGATGTTGCATATGTTTATTGTTATTCCTGTTATAAAGTACTTATATGATAAACTTGAACCACAACATGAACAGAATTATGGATTCTGATATCTCTGGTTCAGCTTACTGACTGAGACCACTGTGGTGGCTTTAATATCTCCAGCCACAGATTCTGGGATTTTCTACTAGAAGTTTTCTCAAGTTTTATTTAGTGTTAGAAAACCTCAAACTTATAGATACCTTTATGTGGTCTTACAACTTTTTATTATTATCATCACTATTATTATTATTTTGGTGTGGTACAAGCGATCAAACCCGGGGGTGCTGTACTACTGGACTACACCCCCAGCCTCCCCTGTTTTTCTTTGTGTGTGTGGTAATGGGTGTTGAACCATCACACTGAACTACAGCCCAGGTCTTTTTAAATTTTTTAAAATTTCGAGACAAGGTCTAGCTAAGTGACTAAGTTGCCCAGGCTAGGTTGGAACCTGTAACCCTCTGCCTCAGCCTCCCAGAGTGCTGGGATTAGAGGGTGTACCACCACACCTAGCTAAAGGTGTTCTTAAATAAATGTTTGTACTGTGACCCATCTAAATGTAGTTAATCATCTAAATGGAGTTTTGGGCATGGTGAGAATATCCTCTGTGGCAATAATGATGAACCTTTTAGAGACCGAGTGCCCAAATTGCAATCCACAACCCACTTATTTATCACAAAGTGCCAACACTGCAATAAAACCTGAGTACTGAGGTTTTACTTTAGAAAAAACAACTCATAAAACTTATGATGTTATTATAGAGAGAGCTCTGCGTGCTTGTTGCTGTGTGGGTGCCATAGGTTCGCCGTCATGTCTCTCTGCCTGCGTGGGTGTGTCCGTGTGTGCGTGCGTGCATGCTTGTGTGCTTGCTTGCTTGCTTTCTGTTTTTTTTTTTTTTAACAAGTTCTCACTGTTGCACAGCCTGACCTGGAACTAATGCAGTCAAGTGAAAGTCCCCCCTCATTCTCACTAGTAGCTAGACTATAAGGCACCCACTACCACCACCACTGTACTGGCTTGTGTTTTTTGAATGAGTAAAAGTCAGAACACCTCTGTGGAAACATCCTTTTCTGGGGAACCTGCTATCTGATCTATATACACATCAAATATGCTTTTTCTGTGTTGACTAGAGATATTCCATAGTAGAAAAAAAAAAGCAATGCTCACCTTTTTGCGGGGGGTTACTAGGGATCAAACTCGGGGCTACACTACCACTGAGCTACATCCCCAGCCATGTTCATTTTGACATAGTGTTTTGTCTGGGTAGGGCTTGAACTGTGACCCTTCAGCCCCTCTCCGTGTTGAGCTCAGAGGTGTGCACCTCTGCACTTGGCATAATGCTCACTCTTATTGCTGCTTCCTACATATTCCATTCCAGCTTTTATTGTCGTTTTGCCTGTCACCGAACAGAGTGCACTGTGTAAAATGCCAGAAGACTGTGTTTGCACTTTTCTCCTGCTCTCCCCTTTTGAAATGGAGTGCAGTGCTTTCATGACTAGGTGTGGGAAACAAATGGCTCTGCAATATAGTACAGGATAGGTGCTCGTTACAGACACGCTCCCATCAGTGGGTACGCCAGCTGCTCCTTGTTTAGAGAACCCAACTAAGTCTTTTCTTACTGAGGTTTCTTTGTGTATTGTTGTTATTACATTTTGTTCTCAGGATACTCTTCAAAATTGCCATCTTACTGATGACCTTCCTAATGATGACTTCCCATATTCTTTTTATAGTACTTTGTCAGACTTTTATCAAAATGGGGCTGCTGTCTTCATTCACCTGCAGTGATGAGTTTAGCTCATTGAGACTGCATCACAACAGAGCTATTACTCATTTAATGAGGTCTGCCAAAGAGAGAGTTCGGCAGGTAAGCCCCAAACACTTGTACTTTGTGTATGACAAAAATAAATTTTCATTTCAAGAGAACTGCATTTTTTTGTTTTTGTTTTTATTTGTTTGTTTTGTTTTTTTGGTACTGGGGATCAAACTTGGCTTTTTCGGTTATTTGAGACAGAGTCTTGCTATGTAGTTCAGGCTGGCCTTGACCTCACTGTGTAGCCCAAGCTGGCCTCAAACTCAGAGCAGTCCTCCTGCCTCAGTCTCCCAAGTGCTGGAATTACAGGTGTGTGCCACCAGAGAACTACATTTTTAAAGCATTAGGAAAGTCTATAAAACAGGTTTTTAAAAATAAAAACTGTTTATTCAACAGTATTGAGTGATTACTCTGTGTTAGACTTTTGTGTAGGTGCTGAGGTAAAAGCATTGAACAAAATAGATGAAAATCCTTCCCTTCATGGAGCTTATCTTCTGATGAGGGGATAATAAACTAGGAAAAAATGTATTGGTTTTTAGGAGGTGATAATCTATAGAAAAGAAACATGAAGCAGTGAAGGGGCTTGCCAGGTATTGGGAGGGGCTGCATAGCTTTCACAAAGGGTGGCCGGGGAGGGCCTCGCTGAGAGTGTTGAAGTCAAGAGCTGCTCTTGGCAGAATGAGCCCTGAATGTGTATGGAGGAAAAGCATTCCAGGCAGAGGACCAGTGAGTGGAATGGGCCTGCAGTGGGTGTGCTAATAGCAGTGTGATGGTGGAAACTGCAGGCAGTCACGTGGCTGGAGTAGAACAAGCAAAGGGGAGCGTGTAGGAAAGGGGGGAAAGGGAACAGCGAGACAGGACAGGTGGAGTAGGCTCTTAAGACCATCTTAAACCACGCTTGGTTTTTACTGAGTAGGGCACGGTACATTTCAAGATTTTGAGCTGTGGAGTGGAGTGACATAATCTGACTTACATTAGGGACCACATCTGCTAGTGCTTGAGAATAGACTGAGGGGTCAAGGACAAGCATTAATAATGCCATTTTAAAAAATATTGTTTGAGCATTTGGGGCTATTAATGAGACATTGAATTTTGGTAGATTCCTTATCAAACTTTTTGAAATGGTTTTTTAAAATAATTTTTTGATTTTAGGGTTCTTGTGAGGATAATTCTTACATGCAGAAAATCAGGTATGTGTTAAATACGTAAGTCTACACTAAAAAAAGTCAAGATTCAAGAAATACTAGTTTTGGGGTTAAAAATAATGTTGTTAGGGTACTTTATGAAGCTTTAAAAAACTTTATTGTCAGGACTTAGTACAGTTCCAAGATTTGCTTTACTTTTTAGTGTATTTGCTGCCGAAGTAGGCACTTGCTTTACTTTTTTTACAGTATGTCCTTCCTCATTGATCTCCTGCCCTCCATTGAGTATGGATTCCCTAAGCCTCACTATTAATTCAGACTGTTGATAATATGGTTTTAGGGGTACAATGTTGAATTTACAAAATGTTTAAATTTTATAATTGGTCTGCATCATTAAGAAATTTAAGTAAATTTATTACTGAGCTTACATAGTAAACTGTTACCTGTTAGTCTTCTTAGGATTTTTGCTGTAAAACACAGGATAAGTTCTAATTGGAATACTAACTACTGGTAAAGTATTTGAAAGTAGTTTTAATGACCATTGTGTTGCTGATTTGCTAAGCCAATGTTTTCTGAAGAGTGAAAAATTGCATTTTAGCCCATTCTTTCCAAATTGCTGCAATTTAATAGTAAATAATGCCCAGCAGTTTGGTAATACAGTGAACATGGAATGTCCTAGAACATTTTGATTGTCTTGTGTTTTGATATTGATTGCATATTTGTATTTAACTTCTAGATCCAGGGAAGTAGCCTTTGAAGCACAAACTTCACGTTACTTAAATGAATTTGAAGAGCTTGGCATCTTAGGAAAAGGTGGTTATGGAAGAGTATATAAGGTTGTTTTCCACTTACTCATTTTGGCCTATTCTGTAAATATTTTGAGAAGTTGTTTTCATTATTATGATGTAAAGTGTTCAGAGAATACCTAGGCATTATGCATATTTACTTTTCATTATGATATCATTTTTAGGAACGTGAACATGTTTTAATTTTTTCCTAACCATTTTGGTCATTTAGGTGGATTCTGGGAATTGGATTTTTTTATATCAGGAATCGAACTCAGGACCTTGTGCTTGCGATTTAAGCAGCGGCACCACTGAGCTAAATCCTTGGTCCCTGGGAATTTTACATTTTTGTGCTATAGTTCATTCTTGTTTAAAATGTTACCAAGAAAAGTTGTGCTACTGTGTTTTCCAGCTTACATTGTTATAGTTTTGCTTTATTCCTGTTCCTCAGACCTGGAGCCTCTGGGAGTTGGACTTTGTTCAATTTGCAGAGCTGATGTCATAGAAATGGAAGAAAGAGACATAGTTTTAGCTTTGTTTTTGGTACCGGGGACCGAACTCAGGACCTTGTGCTTGCAAGGCAGGCGGTGGAACCACTGAGCTAAATCCCCGGCCCACTTTTAGCTTAATTTTATCTTTTTGGCGAGTTTGGATTATCTAAGGTCACATTAGATGAACCTTACTCAGTTAGAACTTAATGGAATTTAATACTTTGTCTTTTTTTCTTTTTAGGTCAGGAATAAACTAGATGGTCAGCATTATGCAATTAAGAAAATCCTGATTAAGGGTGCAACTAAAACAGATTGTATGAAGGTATGAGTTTTAGAAATGATTTGGGCTGAGTGTGGTGGCGGTCAGCAGTAGTTCCAGCTAATGGGGAGGCTGAAGCAAAAAGTCACTTGAGCCCAGGAGTTTGAGAGCAGCTTGGGCAACATATTATAGATCTGTTGAAAGAAAGCAAGAAACCAAGAAACCAAGAAAGAGAAAGAAAGAAAGGAAGGAAGAAGATTTATTTAGAATAATTGCATATTTGTTAACTTTGAAAGAGCTGTATATCTACTTGTGTATATTTGGCAAATAATGGTATAGATGGTATATCATTTATAGATGGTATAAATTGACAGTTTACTAAGAATCAGGTTACAGTAAAGTATAATAAGTGTCCAAACTGAAGTTTTATTTGACATAATTTTATGGCAGTGCAGACTGATCACATTTCATTGATTATTACTGGAGGAATTAAGTTTTTAGAGTAACTACTTTATTGCCCACGTTAGAATAAAAAAGTGATTTTGATTTTTACTTTTATTAGTTCATATTAATTGTACAAAACATTGGATTCCATTGTGGAATTCTCATACCTGCATATAACATTTTTATTATATGCATCCCTCCTATTATCTTTCCTTACACAAACCCCCAAATTAATTTTTTAAATAAATGACTAATGTACGATAGAGTTTGTTACAAAAACTCAACAGCCCAATTCAGGTCCAAGTCTGCTCCCTTACATGCAATGTGGCCTTGGGCAGGTTGCCTTGTAGTCTCTCCCTCTGTAGTCTCTCCCTCTCAGTCTCCCACTCTTGAAATAGCAGTATTTTTACTTATACTTGGAGTAATGTAGTAATCAAATGAAAAAAATGCTGATAAATGAACCATGAAAATATAAAGTGCTATATAAATGTAAGCTGTTTAGTTTCTATAACAGCTGTTAGAAACTCTTAAAAGAATATTCCCATTATTTTAACATAGTTTGGATTCCTTGTTCAGAGTAGTTATTATTATTTTGCTCTGGAACCAGAAATATTTGTTGACCGTTTAGCAAATTGCCAGAAAAAAATCAAGTTACTCCTTTTTCTTTAGGTGTTACGGGAAGTAAAGGTGTTGGCAGGTCTTCAGCACCCCAATATTGTAGGCTATCACACTGCATGGATAGAGCACGTTCATGTGCTTCAGCCCCAAGGTAAGTTGTTTTTAATGATGCAAGTTGAACATCTCTTGTGAAAATTCAAAATCCAGACAGCTACAAATCCCAAAACTTTTGGAGCATCGTGGAAGTGCTCAAAAAGTTGAATAGGGATACTCAGTGACCTACATGAATATTCTAGTATCTGAAAAATATCCAAAGTCAAACACTCCTGGTTGCCAGCATTGTGGATAGGAGATACTCAACCTGTATAGTCATGTGGCTGGCAAGCTTCCACAGATGGGCCAACATTGTACTGCCTTTCTTTTTGTATCTCCCACAGGCCAAGCATGGCCTGTACATTTTTAAAAAAGCTAAAAGGAATGAAATGAAGAATATTTTATGAAAATTATATGAAATTCGAATTTCAGTGTCAACTAAATGAGGTTTAGTAGAACAGGCTTATTAACACCTATGGGTGCTTTTTTATGCTACAGTAGAGTTGAGCCTGCACCTGAGTTTCTTAGGGTCCTGAAAACCTAAAATATTTACCATTAGGTCTTCTATAGAAAGTTTACTGACACCTGGTATAAACAGCTCTGTTTTTATCCTTCCTAAAATGTGCTGTTTGAATAAACTTGTATTAATTTTTTTGGAGGGGGTATCAGGGATTGAACTCGAAACTGAGCTAAATCCCTGGCCCAACTTGTGTTAATTTTTGACTTGTTGTCTTGGTATTATAAATATATTTTAGCTGTCTTTTGACTATACATTGAAAAACTGGGCTGCTCGCAGATTTTTTATTGTTATTTCTGTTCAGCAGATCGAGTTCCTATTGAGTTGCCCTCTCTCGAAGTGATCTCTGAAGAGGACAGGTAGGTGGACTGGGGTTACTTCTACATACTAGACATTGTATCCTGTCCCTACAGTGGCTTGCTTTTGACCTTTGCTACTAGAAACTTGAGAAGAATGTTTCTGACTTGCTTTTTCCTTGTTTTCATTCTAAAATATTAAATTACTTCTCAGATATTTCCTTTAGGGTTTTAAATAAAGATTGCATCTAGACATATTTGATACCATTTCTTTTAAGAGTTTGTCTATAAGATTCATATAGTCTTTTTTTTGGAGATAAAGTCTCACCTATATAGTTCAGGGTTACCTTGAACTCACTATGTAGCCTAGGCCGGTCTCAAACTCATGGTGATCCTCCTGTCTCAGCCTCCCTAGTGCTGGAATTACAGGTGTGCACCACTGGACCTCCTTTTATATAGTCTTGAAAGAACAGTTGAGTTACTCTTGATCTTTTTTTTTACATTGACTTTTTTGGTTTTTTGAGACAGGGTTTCACTGTGCAATCTAGGCTGGTCTTGAACTGGCCATCTAGCCCAGGCTGGCCTCAAATTTGCAATACTCCTGGCTTATCTTCATGTGTGTCATTACTCTTTTTCCTCCAGAGATAAATACAGTGTAAATGGTGATGAAAATAGCAGTTCGTCCATTATCTTCTCTGAGTTCATTTCAGAAAAAGAAAAACATGTTGGTGAACCTGACATTGAAAATCAGAATAACAAATTGGTGAACTACACCAACAATTTAGTCATAAGGAACAGCAGTGAATTTGAATCATCCATTGGGTTCCAAGAAAATGACTTGGTTGATTTGTCTGCTGGATCAGTTGTCAAGCATCAACCCCTGCTCAGGCATAACTCAGACCTAGAAGGGAATTTCACATCCACCGAGGAATCTTCTGAAGAAAACTTAAACTGGTTTGGGAAGACAGAGGTAGAGTACTTTCCCAGAACCTAGCAATATCATACTTATCCATAGTCATTATATAAAGGATTGTGACTGTGTGTGGCCTTTACCCTTCCTCATCTAACTTTCCCTGGTGCTCCTGTCTCTCTCTGCTGTTGCTCTTCTGCCCTGTATTCAGTCTCTTGGACTTAGCATGCTCCCTCTAACTATATGTGTTTGTGTTTAGTTTTTCCCTTTCACTTAGTTAACACTAACCCTTTTCTGACCTCCCTGCTGGGTCATTGCTCTGTAGGTAGTCTTGAATGTGTGTCCTGGGATTGGAAGCCTCATTTACATTCTATTTCTGTATTATATTAACATCATGCTATAAAAGTATATTTATGCAAAAGTTTTCTATTCTTGGAGCATGACTTTAGGTGAGTCCTATAAGATAACCAGTCAGTTTTCAGGATAGCCTTGTTGAGGATTAGGCTAATATGCTGGCCAGACTCCCACCATACTTAGCAGTTGTCTTAGTTACTTTCTTGTTGCTCGGACAAATTATCTGACACCCAGAAATTAAAGAAGGGAAGATTTATTTTGGTTCACAGTTTGTTGATGTTTCAGTCCATAGTTGACTGGCTTCAAGGTAGAGCAGCATGGTAGAGGGGAAACAGTCCGTGGCATGGCAGCCAGGAAGCAGCAGCCTTCCTTCTGCTTTCCCTTTTATTCCATCCTGGCTACAAGCCTATTGGTTAGTGCCACCCACACCCAGGATGGGTCTTCCCCTATAGTAAGTCCATCAGCCACACCCAGAACTATGCTAAACCAATCAGTGGACGAAGTCAGTATCCCACACCCGTGATCCAGTCATTCCCACAAGCCGCACCTATGAGCACACGAGGCTTTGGGGGACACCTAGATACAAGCCATAACACCAGCATTGTGTGTTAATGTTTAAACAACTTGAGCATTAACAAAGTGGATCCATAATGTCATGTTAGGGTTGCAAAACTGTATTGCCACCTCTATATATGCAACACAGAAATCTTGTCGAGGGATATGTGCCTCTGTCCGTCTGTCTCTGTCTCTGTCTCTCTCTCTCCCTCTCTCTCTCTGTCTCTCTGTCTCTCTTAAAATGAAACAAAACAGACCAGGTTCATCTGAATCCAAACGAGTTGAGGGGCTGGGGATTTAGCTCTGGTTCTGCCGCCTGTCTCGTAAGCTCAAGGACTCGAGTTTGATCCCTGGTACCCAAAAAAAAAAAAGTTAAACGAGTTGAGTTTGGGGAACAGTAATCAGAATTGCTTTATTTCTCTGGTATTATAGTTGGAAGTTTTTCTTTGATGCCTAAATAAATGAACTTCAGTAAGCTTAATGTTTCTGTCTTTCTCTTTCTTTTCTTTTTCTTTCCTTTCTTCCTCCCCTAGCCATCCCTTCCTTTCTGCTGGGCTGGGGATTAAACCTAGGACCTTGTATATACCAAGCAACCACTCTGCCACCAAGCAACATCCCAGCTCTTTGTAAAGTTTTCTTTTGAGACACAGTCTTACAAAGTTTCCCATGCTAGCCTAGATTTTGCGGTCCTCTAGCTGCAGCCTCTCAAAAAGCTGGGATAAAGAGATGCTACTCAGCATACTTTTGCTTTGGATAAGTTATTAGTGATGTACAATGTAAAGCCAACCAAAATATATATACAGTGGTACCTGGCTTCATGAACTTAATTCTTTCCATGATTCTGTTGCAGAATTTATTCCACAATTTCTTTGCAACCAAAATCATAGAAAGAATTAAGTTTGTGAAATGAGGTGCCACTGTACTTGGAGTATATTGATAGTCGTAGAATACCACATGGGAATTCTTTGTTATTTCATGTTGGCTTTAAAAACTGTTTATGTAAGCCAGATGGCATGGCACATGCCTATAATCCCAGCTCTTTAGGAAGCTGAGGCAGGAGGATCGCAAGTTTGAGCCAAGCCCAGGCAATTTAGTGACTTAGAGAGACATTGTTTCTTGTTTCAAAATAAAAAATAAATTGCTGGGGACGTAGCTCAGTGCCAAGGCCCTGGGTTGAATCTTTGGTACCATAAAGGGAAAAAAACCCACCCTAAAACCTGTTCATGTAATGAGCACTCCAGACAGTTTCAAGATCAGTTCCTCAGTTTCTGCCATTAGACCCCTGCCTCCTTGTATCAAGATACACTGTCTTAATTATTGCTCTGCTTATCTGTCTCCTTCACTGGGCTTCTTGGGCAGGCCTGTGTTCTCAGCAGTTGGCTGTGGTCTTGGCCTAGTGTAAGCAAGAGAGTATTTGTCAACTAAATGAATAATGTGTGTGAACTGAGGAGATGGGAGCTCACTGTATGTCTTCTCTAGGTGCCGTATCACCTGATGCTGCATATCCAGATGCAGCTGTGTGAGCTTTCCCTGTGGGACTGGATCACCGAGAGGAACCGGCGGGCCCAAGAGAGTGTGGATGAAGCTGCCTGTAAGTGCATTCTGTGTCTGTGCATGATAGTGTGGGGGATAAAGATGGGCAGTCTTCTTCATCAAATGTTAAGAATTGTCTTCAGGGCCGGGGATTTAGCTCACTGGTTTCACCGCCTGCTGCGCAAGCACAAGGACCCAAGTTCGATCCCTGGTACCAAAAAAACCAAACAAATAATCAAAAAAAGAATTGCCTCCAGTGGCTTTAAGTTAAAAAACAAAACAAAACAGGGCCAGGGATTTAGCTCAGTGGTTCCGGCACCTGCCTCAAAAGCACAAGGTCCCGAGTTCAATCCCTGGTACCAAAAAAAAAGAGAGAGAGAAGCAACTCCCCCCCAATTTGCCTTTTTCAGCATTTTAAAAAACAGAGGTATTTATTTGGAAGCTGAATTTCTCTGTGATAGAATTTGTTGATATTTAAATAGTAATATGATAAATTTAGGCTAATGATTTTGGGTAGAAATGGATTTTTCCTTTTCTTATTTTTCGAGACAGAGTTTCACAATGTAGCCTAGGCTGTCCTGGAACTCTGGAACTCATGATCCTCTTGCCTTAGCCTTTCAGCTGCTGGGATGGATTACAGAATGAGTCAGTCTGCTGCCTGGTTTTTTATTAAGAGACAAAATTTAAATGCTTGTTTTTCTTTTTTTAATTCTGAAGCTATGACATTCATAAAAAAAAAAACCCTTATATGATCCAGGTTTCCCCAAACATCCCACAGTTTTATATCCTACAAATACTTTGTGAGCTAATATTTTTAAAATATACCACTGGCTCTCATCCTTGGGTGTGTATTACAGTCACCAGGGAATTTTTAAAAAAATGTCAGAGAAAGAACAAGTAACAATATGTAAAAACACAGGAAGCCTGTCTCTTGAGCTCTGGACTGATTTTTCTGGGAGCTGGAAGTAGAGATGATACAGCTGTGGCTCAGAGTAGGAAATATTGAATAGCACTGAAACATCTGGAGACACAACTTAAGGAATTGGTGCCAGTTTATGCAAAGATAGCTGTGGAAGTTGAAGGGACCACTGCTTCAATCAGAAGTAATTTGAAAATGGCAGATCACTTCTCCTTGAATGAAGAACAAGAACCAGAATCACTGAAGAAGCATGAGAGAATCCAGTCAGAGGGATAAGCACGATAAAGATGCTGAGCTAATCTTTGTTGGGATGGAACATGTAAATGAGGATTCTGAAATTGTCTTTGTCAAGGAGATTTCAAATTCACAGCCAGTTATTTAAAACATTTTGAACAGTGTCACCCCAGGCTCATATTCAAAAAGAAAGAAAGGCCACCTCAGTCAAGATTACTCATGTGACTCAAGCTGCAGTTCCTGTGACTCCAACAGCCAAAATAATGGCTGTCATGCCTACTTCTCAGTCTGAATGGAAATCAGTAGATAGACCCCATTACTACTGAGTCTTAATCCAAACCTGCTGATCAAATGAGCCTGCCACAAGTCATTCCTCCTCATGATTCAAAGCTGCTTTTCACTGGTGATAAAAAAAGCAGTTTATACCAAAAGGTATAAACTCAGCAATGAAATCCCAAGTGCACAATCTTTAGCCGTGACGCCTTCTGGTATTTTTTCTATAAAATGCACACATCTACTCCATCAAAAAGCATCTGCTGGGCCAGGCATTTAGCTCAGTGGTTTTGCCGCCTGCTGCGCAAGCGCCAGGACCCGAGTTCGATCCCCTGTACCAAAAAAAAAAGCATCTGCTTATCAAGCCATGTTCAGAATGGAACATCCTTTCCTTGGACTTACACTAATAAAAATTCACCTTTTGCTTTCAGGGATCTGAACCCAGAAAGTACCTCTGAAGGCCTGGTAAAAACAGGTTTATGCAGTCTGATAGGCCAAAACAGTACCTTTGATCTCAAGAAAGTAAGTCTGATCCTATTATGTAGTGATTTTTACTGTGGACAACATAAAGGAGATGGACAGCCAGAACGAAAGACTCACTTAACCTTTAACTGGCTGAGCATGACGGTGACTCCAGCAGACCCATCCCTTTTCTACTGTAAATTTGTACTTTAGCATAATAGTAGCTAGCTGTGCATCTCTGTACCTTTCTCTGAGGGATACAGGATCCAATCTATGTGTTTACTCACTTCGTATGACAAATGGCAAGATGTGTGGACTTGTGCAAAAGTGGGAAAACAGGATTTTTACTCACATTCTCCATCTAACTGGTTTTGCATATATTTACCTGAGCATCACAGAGGGTCCAGTAGACCCACACCACTCCAGGATTTGTTAAAATAAGTTTTCTTTCGATTTTCTGGAAGAAGTAGCCCAATTCAGTAGAACAACACATGAAAAACCAGATTTGCAAGTTTTGGAGGTCAAAAGTGAATTGTCAGATTAGTCTTGCATGGATGATGAAGATGATCCATTATGATAAAGTACATGTTTTCATAACAGAAGAGTGGTATAGGTGGATGATGATGATAATGACAATGATAATGACTATGACGACTTTGACATTGGCCATGTGAGCCAAAGTTCCTGTGACAGTGAAGTGGAGCAAGAATCGATGGATATAGACGCAGGGAATGCAGACCTCCTTGATTCAGATGATGAAGAAAACAGCAATGTGAGTACATATCTGACTAGTTGAAATGTGGCAAAATGGCCATATAATCAAATGGAACAATCCAATGTTAGAACTAGGTCCGAAATATAGTGAGGGTCTTGGCAGGCGTGAAATGCATTGGACAGAATGCCAACACTGCCATTCAGTGTTGTAAATTGTAGCAGAAGTACTTCAAGGTGCTGTGAAATACACAAAGGCTGAAATGCAAGTAAAACATTCTGTATGCCTCAATAGCCATATTAAAAATGTATTTATTTATTCAAAAATGTATTTATTATGACACCTCACTAGCTGAATTGAAAGCATTCATAGGTCTGCTGTACTTAGCAAGAATTTCTCATGGTAATTGCAGAAATGTAAAAGACTTACGGAAAAGCGATGGGGCAAAGTATGGCATAAAAACTTACGCCCTTGTAAATGCAAAGACTTATTATGCTTTCAATTTAGACATTTATCCTAGAACTCAGCCATCAGGTCCTTATTCATGTAGTAATAAACTGATATTGTGAACAGACTTGTTGCTCCCATCTCCCAAACTCATTGGAATATGACTATTGGCAATTGGTTTATCAGTTTCCAATTGATGTTACCTTTGCTAACAGCACAAGTTGACCAGCACAGGAACTGTACGCAGCAACAAAACAGGAATTCTAAATGAAATGCTGCAGTTTCAAAAGGGAGAATTGTATAGTATAATCTTTGGATTTCAGAAAGATTTACATTGGCCTCATATGTGGTAAGAAAAACAAATTGGTACTGCTGATGTCAGCATTGAACCATGATGGAAATATTGATAGGGAAACCTTAACAAAATGGAAGCCTGAGTTGAAAACTTTCTACAACAAAACCAAAGGTGGAGTAGATGCTGTTCATGAGTTACACAATAACTGTGATGTCACATGAAGCGCAAAGCATTGGCCAGTGATTGTGTTTTTAACTAAACGTGTGTGGTATAAATAGTTTGATAGTTTACAAAGAAATTAACAAGTGCAAAATATCATGGGGAAATTTCGTAGAGGATTGGGACTGAGACCCTAAGAGATTATTTATTGCAGAGGAAAAACAAAATATTTCTGCCCAGGGAACTATGCAAAAAAAATTATGGAGCACACTGGTGAGCTGACAGGTGAACAGAGAGGCACAGCATCACAAAGACCTGCTGCTAGAACAGGAAAACCCAAAAGATGTCAACTGTGCCCTACAAGAAAAGACAGGAAAACAAAACATAGGTGCTATCAGTGTAAGTGAGATGTGTGCATGGAACATGCAGTTGTCGTGTAAAGACTGCCTTGGGTGTGACAGTTGAAGGAAAGATTATTTCTGTGGTAGCCTTTTGTTTGTGTTTATATTATAGTTCACGTAGGTTTTTATTTCTGATGTTATCTCTTAGGTGTTGTAAGTAAATCAACACTGATATAAAAATATTGATGTCTATTCTAAGCACTCATTACATATTTGATATTTTAGTTTATTGATCTTATTTCCCTGCTAAGTGCATGTTGTACAATATAGTAGGAAGCTCCTGACAAAACAGAGAAGAGAGGTAACAAGACTGCCACATAGGAAAGGAAAACTAAGCACATATGCCCTCAGTGTAAGCGAGTTGTGTGCATGGAACATGCAGTTGTCATGTGTGAAGCCTGCCTTGGGTGTGACAACTGAAGCAAAGCTTATTTTTGTTGTAGAGTTCTATTGCTGCTTTCATTTTAGTCCATATAGGAATTTATTTCTGATGTTATCTTTTAGATTTTGTAAGCAAGTACACAGCTGATGTGAAAATGTTGATGTCTATTCTAAATGCACAATACAATATTAAGAATTTAATACTTTATTTTGTTGATATTCTATGTTCCTTTTAACTGCACACTTTATAATATAGTAAGAAACTCCTGACAAAACAGTAAGACCAGCGAGATGTCAAGTATGTCTTATGAAAAGGCCAGGAAAACAAAACACCTGTGCTGTCAGTGTAAGCAATACGTGAATGGAACATGCTGTTGTCCTATGTGTAGACAGCCTTAGGTATGATAATTGAAGTAAAGACTTTTTTTTTTATAAAGTGCTCTTGATATTTTCATTGTAGTTCATATAAGAATTTATTTGTGTTCTTTCTTAGACTTTATACACCAGAAAAGAGTTGATGTTGAAAATTTTGATGCTTTATATAAACACTCAGTAAATATTTTAAAAATTCATTACCTTTTTTTTCTTTTTTTGGTACTGGGGATCGAACTTGGGTCCTTGTGCTTGCCAATACTTTATTTTTGGGATATTTTTCTCCTGTTAAGTATTCATTATTAAATATAATAAAACTCATAAAATTAAATTTAATGATTCATCAATAGAAATATTCTAAAGAATAAATCCACATTTTTGTGCCTTTATGACAATTAGTATTATGCTATGCAGATTAAATGCCTCAACTGTTTGAAAATTCTGAAAAATACCAAGTTTATGAATCACATGAAGCACCATTTGGAACTTGAGAAGCATAGGGGTGACAGCTGGGAAAACCACACTACTTGCCAGTACTGCCATCGGCAGTTTCCAACTCCATTCCAGCTGCAGTGTCACATTGACAGGGTGCACACTACTCAGGAGCCCTCTGCTCTCTGTAAAATCTGTGAATTATCATTTGAAATGGATCAGGTTCTCTTACAACACATGAAGGACAATCATAAGCCTGGGAAAATGCCCTGTGTGTGCCAGGTTTGCAGTTACAGATCATTGGCCTTTGCTGTTGTGGAAACACATTTTAGAACATGCCATGAAAACACTAAGGATTTGCTTTGTGTTTTGTCTTAAAATTTTCAAAACTGCAAATCCATACAGCCATCATTGTTGGAAGCACTGCAGCAAGAAGAAAGTCTTTCTGTGTTCCAAGTGCTGGCTACAGTTTTTAAGTTTGAAGGAGGAAATAGAGCACAAACCCAAGAATCATCAAACTTTAAAAAGCCAGAGCCACTGGAAGGTTTGCCTCCTAAAACAAAGGTTGTTACTCAAACTAGTTCACACATCAAGAGATACAGAATCAGTTATTGTAAGCAGTATTGACCCTTGCCTATCACATGTGAAAACTGAAAAAAAGACTCGATGAACTCTAGATATTCTGGACTCCTTTGCAGCGAGTTCAGGCTAAATGTGTGTTCCACCTACTTCCATGGACTCTGAAAGGCAGGTGTAAGGCTAGGTCATCTGTACATCATGACTGATGCTAGCATTCAGTGTCACCAACCTTTAGATTTTACAGTGGCATCTCTAGTTCCCTACACTAAAGAAGCAGTTCAGAAATCTTCATGCCCTTTCTTCACTCAAACCCCTCCACAAAGTAGTCACTATTCATCGTACATTAGTTTTTACTATCTTTGAACTTAAAATGTGCTAAATCACTTTAATAAATGAAATCAAACAATAAAAATGTCAGTGAAAGCTGAACATGGTGGCACATATCTATAATCCCAGCACTCGGGGAGCTGAGGCAGGATTGCTGTGAGTTTGAGGCCAGCCTGAACTACAAAGTGAGACCCTGCCTCAAAAACATCAAGAAAACCCTAACCAACCAACCAAACAAACTTTACAATGGAGGAACCTGACAAACACTGTCTTAGCCAGAGGTCATAGTCATCATCAATATTGATACATCATATGCCTTCCTGATGTGATATGATGAGAATTAAAGTTTTTGTCTGTGGATTTCCTCCACCAAACCATAATCCCAATGTGATCAATTGGAAAGATATCCAGTCCCTATTGGGACAAATCTGTGTTAGAGGCATTCCACAAAAATACCTGACCATGGGCTGGGGATTTGGCTTTGTGGTGCTGCCGCCTGCCTCGCAAGCGCAAGGTCCCAAGTTTGAGCCCTGGTACCAAAACAAAAGAAAACAAAACAAAACCTGACCAGTACTATCAAGATGATCGAAAACAAGGACAATTATGAAATTGTCACAGGCCAGAAGAATGTAGAGAGGCATGGGCTCTCAGTGTAGTGTGGTAGGTGTATCCTGAATGGGGTCCTGGAACAGGAAAAGGAAACTGTTAAAAATTCAGGAAATCCAAATAAACTCTGGACTTCTTAATGTTAACATTGGTACATTAATTTTGGCAGATGTACCATACTGATGTAAGGTGTTAATGATTTTAGAACCAAGTTAACATTTATTTGTTAAAGTAGTAAATTCATAAAAATCGAGAACCTAAACTATATTTTTTTTCTTTTTACTTCCAGGTCCTTATGTTATAGCCAGTGTTGCAACAAAAATTTTTGAAGAATTGGTGGAAGGTGTCTTTTACATACATAATATGGGAATTGTACACAGAGATCTGAAGGTAAATGGGTTAACTAAATCCTTGAAATTAGAGATGGCGATGGGGCTCAGTGAATTTAAGGAGATGATGTACCCTTTTTTGTTTACTTAGGAGATTATTATTTATATAAATCGGCATCTCATAGGTCCCGAACATGAAACTCTTAATTGAACTAAAAGGAGCAATTTGGAGATATTTGAAAATTCTTTCTGGATTATGAATACTGTATTGTGCTTACTGTTTAGGCAAAAATTAAATCATGGAAAAAGGATTTAAAAGAAAATCTAGAAACATGAGAGTTAATAATGCAAATCATTTTATTTTTTGAAAAAGCTTTACGAACCAATAGTTTGTACATTGGGATATGAAGATAATGGGTTCAGTATTTTCTGGTACGTGTCTAGCCAGAAAATGCAGTTTGAATTGCTGAAATTCTCAGGACTAAGGAACTTGGTCTTCCTTGAGGAGGAATGCTAAGTCATAACAGCAGTATATTGAGCTCCATATCTTTACTGGGAGAAGTTGCTTCAGGTGATGTTTGTGTTTCTCACTACAAAGATTTCTGATGATTTTTTTACAGATCTCCTCTAGGGATAAAGGTTTTTGAGATAAGTTTATTAGGGCTTGCCTTAAGGAGTGGAGTTCTTGTGGGATGATTCCTGTAGGTAGAATTCCTTGCTTATTTGTCAGTCTCAAAGGGTAAGTGCGACAAAGTAGCCTAGCAAAAAGAGTCTTGTCTCTGAGGTTGGAACTACGCTGAAGGTACATGTAAATTGGAGATTCCCCATTTCTTGTTAAAATGTTAACATTTGCCTCAAATTCCAGCAAGAGATTGATTATTGCCTCTCTGCCTCCAAAACATGCCTCGTGAAGAGCTGTTAGACCTTCACAGTTCTGAGCATTGACCTTGGCTCCATGCATTAGCAGCAAATGGATGCAGCTCTGCCCTGCTGCTAGTAGGCGGCCTGCCTTGCTTGATGCACTGCACACTGCCAGCATCAGGGCTGTGTTCCCCGGAGATGAAATAGCACAGTTAACATTTGCATCATATGCAATAAGTGTTTCTATCATGTCCTTACTCAGTATATCTGCAGCCATGTGAAGGGGTGTCATGCTGGCTTCATTAATGGCATTGACCTGTGCACCATTTTGGACCAGTATGGAAAGGACTGGATAGGTCCCATATAATATGGCCAAGTGGAGGGGGGAGACTTTGTCACTGTTGTCTGCCTGGGCGTTAACTTGAGCTCCATATTCACACAAGATGCGAAGACACGTTTCAGCATTATCCTGGTCTGTCAGGATCCTTTGGATTCTATTACCTGGTTTTGTCCATGTGGTAGAAGTGATTGGCCAGTGTACTATCATCAACTCGAGAGTAGTGAGGCCTCCTGTGTCCCTGGAAGGTATTTATCACATGTCACAGGAGATTCATGGTGAGAACAGCTTTTCATGCAGAGTTAATGCTTAAGAAGATACTGTTTTTATAAAGTAGAACTTTTAATTACATTATAGCATTTCAAGTTCTGTATCGTTGGGCAGTTTCTCAGGATACAGTGGGTTTTGAGGGGACAAGGTGGCATGCCTCCCTGCATGATGGGCCCAGCTCTTTAGAGAAGCCTGTTTCAGCTTTGTTGCTGAAGGCGAGGCCCACCTTGCCCAGTGCTGGGCTGGGTTACTGGGCATTTGATAAAACTGTGGGTATGAGTTGTTAATACCCAAGAAGTGAACCCTGAAGGACCAGACTCCATCTATTCAGTTTGGTGGCTCTGTGTCTGTTTCCTCCCTGATATGTTCCTTTATGAGTGTAGGTGGTAGGACAGATGACAAAGGTTGAATCTGGGGTCATATGGTCATTGTGAAGTTAGTGAAACCAGTTCATCTTCATCCCCTGCTCCAGTCCACGTGGAATGAACATTTTATGGGTTGGTTCTCATCTCAGGACTAATTCCAAAATTTTTTTAGGAGAAAGGGGAAGGTTTGTCATCAAAATCTGACTGCTCCCCTGACAGTGGGAACTGACTACAAAGGTGCAATGGGGTTTGGGATGTGTAGGGAGAGGTTAAGGGCAAGACATGCTGGGTTGGCTCTTCTGAGCAGAGTAAGGATTTGCACTGAGAAATTGTATTATTTTTATACTGTATAATTCTTTAGTTCATTTAGAAGTGTAATCTTTTTTTTTGGTACTGGGGATCGAACTTGGGACCTTGCGTTTGCGAGGGAGGCACCGGAACCACTGAGCTAAATCGCCAGCCCAATTCTTTAGTTCATTTAGATAGCATTCATTGGGCACTAAGTGATAGACATTTGGTTTAGGTGTTAAGGACAGTGTTGTAAGCAAGATAAGTTTCTCTTTCATGAAGCTTACCTTCTAGTGGAGGATAATAAGGAAACCTATTGTCTGTTTTTTATTTTTCATACCTAAGTTGTTAAACTTCTTGAGTGTCATGGCCTGGACTCAATACATTTTCCACAGCACTGTTACTGAGTTCAAGGTTCAGTGATGTGGCTGGCTGTTTGTGTGTTCTTTTCATGACTTCCAGATAATCTCATCTAGTCAGTGAATAAGTGGGTTCATTGGAAACATAGTTTGTAGCCCTAACCCATGCGGAATGAACAAACCCAGACATAAGGGAACAAGTACCCTCTGTATCACACACACCCTCACTTAGATGAAGATGCTGTGTTAACTTACCGTACTTCAGGGTCAGCCCCATGTTTTAACAAACAAAGCAGACTTTGGGCATTGTGGTATTTGACAGCCAGATGAATGGGGATGATGGAACATGTTGGCTGCAGGGAAACCAAAGTGAATTACAATCCTACTTTATAAAATAGTATTTATGTTACCCTGCCATTGCAGAGAAACTAAGTATGTGAGTATTGCACTGGTTCTGTATTTGGTATGTTTATTGAAATTTTCCTTTTCCATTGCCTGTTTTCAGAGATCAGGGAATTTCATATTATATAATTTATGTTTTATAGAAACAGAAATTTACCAGGGCAGGAGAAATAATACCCAAAGCTTTGAAAGTTGGTTCTTGTGAAGAACTCATGGTTTAAAATTAATGGTAATTGCTGTGAAGTCACTTAGTTCTTAAATTAACCCACAGGGTGATTGATGAGTAGGTGTTATAGCTTTTAAGGCTTTGCCAGCGTCATACCATCAGCAGTAAAACCTGTAGTTTCAGGGCTTTCAAAAAGATAACACAGCATGTGTTCTATGATAAGCAGGACTGTTTATGCCATTTCTTAAAATATATATGTAAGTAGTGGTTTTACACTGTGTCTGTAAGATAAGGGGAGAGGGTGGGAGAAAAAAGGTAATTTCCTTCTTGAAAAAAATTAATTATAAAGGCAATAATCATTGTATAAAAATTTAGGAATGAGAAGTGTATATTAATAGGGGAAAATAATTCTCCTACACAGACATAATCCCTACTAGTGTATGTGAGAGCATGGTGTTAATGTTCTTCTGGCCAAACAAGTTCTAGTCTTTTCCTCCATCTGTTTATGTTCGAGGAGTGGAAGGGAGGCGTTGCGGACCTCGGGGCACACTACTCTGTGCTTGCTGGAGCTGGGCTGCTGAGCTGCATGTTTTGTGAGGGTCCTGGGGAGCTTAGGGCGTTCATAAGGATTAGGTTGTGTTCCTTGCTAAGCCTCTTTTTTCTAAAAGCAACAGCAGAAAAGCAGGTACCTGGGGCAGGGGTGATGTATAGCAGGTGTGATTGGATGGAATGGTCAAAGGCTGGTCAACTGGGTGATTTCTGAGGAGTGCCTTGATGGCCGTGCAGTCTTCTTTGATTATGGCCTCATAAAGATTAGTGTGCAGTGTTATGGCTGGGCTGTCCTCTGGTGACTGGGTATCGTCAGCCACCAGGCTTCTCCTCTTCGTTATATTTCCCATGGAAAAATCTTTAGGGTTCAAGAGGAAATGTTGTTATGGAATTGGTCAGTATTATTCTCTTTGTGATGATTCTTTCAGTTTAGTTCTAGAAGTGCTCTAGAATTGTGAAGAATGGTATTTCTAGCGAGGTGTAGTGGTCGTGCTTGTAATCCTAGTATTCTGGGAGGCTGAGGCAAGAAGATTGCAAGTTTGAGCCTAACTTGGACAACTTACTTAGCAAGACCCTCCCTCAAAGGAAAAAGGAAAGCTGGGGATGTAGCACAGTGCAAGTCCCTGAGTTCAGTCACTAGTCCAAAAAGCAAGAATTGGGAACTGAACACACTTCATTTTTCTCCTGGAGCCACACCTTTCAGACTTTATTCCTTGATGTGGAGTGCCAAATATCAGCACAGAGTTTTAGGTTTTCTGCTTAGTCACAGAGACATCCAAACTGTAATCTTACACCTAAGATTATTTCTGTTTTCTCTTCCATGTGAGCTGTAGTTCAGACTGCTAACTGATCTAAAATGGGAATTTTTATATTAACATAAATTATCACTTCATGTGAAAACAACTTTTGAGGCAGGTAGCAAAACCACTGAGCTAAAGCCCCGGCCCAAAAACAACTTTTAACCTAAGTATTTTTTTTTTTAATTTTAGTACTCTTTCCTCCCTGTGGTATAGATGGAGTTTTTCACTGGTATAGTCTGGGAGCTGTCTTGGATCTGCCATGATTGCTTAAGTAGAGCCAAATATATCTTCATATTGTGACCTAATCGTTTCCCACACTGGCTAATATATAAGTCATCTGTGAGCTTTAAAAAATATCAAAGATGCTTGTCACAGTGGCACACAAGTAATCGCAGCTACTTGGAAAGTTAAGGCAGGAGTATTACAAGTTCAAGGGCAGCATGGGCAACTTAGCAAGACATCAGATAGATAGATAGATAGATAGATAGATAGATAGATAGATAGAAGAAAGCAGGACTGGGGGTCTAGCTCAGTGTACAAAGAGCACGTGGTTAATCATTTGCAAGATCCTGGGTTTCATCCCAGCACCAAAAACAAATTCCAGAGTTTTTCATTGGAAATGTCAGTCTTTGACTGTTGGAGAATACAGTCTTTAAAAGCTTCTTGGGCGATGATGCCCTGTCAGGGTTGAGAAATGTGTAGAAAGCTTCTCAAATCTGAAACAACTTTTAGACTTTGAAATAGCGATGCTTGTGTCCACCCCAGGAATTCTGATTTTGTTCACTTGGGGAAGGCTTGGTCATTATTTCTCCTAAATGCCTCTGGTGACTCTAATGTACAGCCAGGCTTGAGGGCTGCTGGGGCTCCTTGGCCCTGAGTTGATAACTCTTAACACCCAAGTTTTCAGTATTTAAGAAAATTAAGGAATTGACTTCTTTTGTTTCTTTATAGCCTAGAAATATTTTTCTTCATGGCCCTGATCAGCAAGTAAAAATAGGAGACTTTGGCCTGGCCTGCACAGACATCATACAGAAGAACGTGGACTGGACCAATAGAAATGAGAAGGGTAAATTTTAGTTGTTGTTTTTTGATTTTACATTAAAAAGGAGATGTGGTTGAACGTATTTAAAGAGAGTCATAAAAATGTAATAATAAAGCTAAGACAAAAGCAACCATTGTTCCCCTAGGACAGTGATGGGGAACCTTTTCTGTCTTTTAGTGATAACCAGCAGCTAGCTGTGGCATGTGTGTCCCAGGTTGCCACCCCTGCCTCAAGAGCTAAAGAGCCCTGCTCTCACAGCAAGCGGTTCTTGATGGTTTGGCGTTATTTCTGCCTTGTTTCATGTGCGCCTTTCTCAGCCGTAGGAGCGCCAGCACGTACTTCCAGAGTGGGGACCTGTTTGTACGCTTCACCAGAGCAGCTGGAAGGATCGGAGTATGATGCCAAGGTAGTAGTTGTTGCTTTTTCTGCTTTTGACTTATTTTGTCAAAATTTTTAACAGTACCCTAAATGCAGAAGCTTGAGGTAGGGGTGTTTTGGGAGATAGCTGAATTCTATAGGTGATCTTTTGATGAAACTCTCCTAAGAAGCTTCATTTTATCTCAGTTGGGGTGGCCCATGCCTGTCATCCTACCATTGTGGGAGGCAGTGGCAGGAGGATCGAAAGTTTAAGGCCAGCCTGGTCAGTGAAGTGAGACCTAAAAATAAAAAACGGCTCCAGAGATGTAGCTCAATGCAGAGGCCCTGGGTTTAATCCCCAGTACTTTTCCATCCCTAAAAATCTCATTTTTTAACCAAATCTGACTGCATTGCCTTTTAGGCTACCACACTATTTCTAAATCCATGGATATCGCAAGTTATTCCTGAAGTGAATGTTTTAAGTCACCATTCACCCCAGAATCCTTACCAACCTGTCTTTAGCCTTTCATTCTTTTGACTTGAAGCTTAGACAAACACGTGGATCAGGGAAGCTTGTTATTTGATTCCCCTTGTAAGAGAACGAAGGTATTATAAAGTTCTAATCCCCACTGAAGAAATGCAAAAGTAAATCCTCTTTTCAAAATAACAGCCTAGGGGCTGGGGATTTAGCTCAGTGGCACCACGCCTGCCTCGAGAGCCCAAGGTCCTGAGTTTGATCCTCGGTACCAAAAAACAAAACAAAATAACAGCCTAGTACATTTTCTTCTTCTTTTTTTTTTTCTTTGGTACTGTGGATCGAACTTGGGTCTTTGCACTGCACAGCAGGCGGCGAAACCACTGAGCTGAATCCCCGGCCCCCATTTTCTTCTTTTTTGATGAATCATTCAGTTTTTCAATGATTGGGAAAGAGCTGCCAGAAAAGACCACAGCTGCACCTAAATGCCAAGGTAGTGAAGACTTTCCTGAAAACTTTTAGGAAAGCAGATTTTATACAGAGTTTACAAGTGTTATTGAGAATGCTTAAATTATGAGTAGAGGCAGAAGTAAAACCAGAGGAAGCGCTGGGGACAGTCCCCTGACCCTGGCACAAGCATTCAGGAGCACCTGTCACTGCTTGGATCAGGGCTGGATCGTCATGGAGCAGTAGAGACAGTGCAGGGCTGGTGACTGCTGTGGGTGGTGGGAGAAATGCTTGCCCTTCACCTGGCCAGCCATTCTGCAAGCCCATGAATGTCCCTGTTGGCTGTTAAGGAGATGGGGTTTGCTGGGCATGGTGGCTGGCATATGCTTGTAATCCCAGCGCTCTGGGAGGCTGAGGCAGGAGGATCGCAAGTTCATCCCAGCCTACGCAACTTAGTGACTTTTGCGAGACCCTGTCTCTAAGGAAAATGCATGAAAAGGACTGAGGATGTAGCTCGGTGTGAAGGCCCTGGGTTCAGTCCCCAGCACTGACCCCCCCACCAAAAAGGAGAGGCATATCACGGTCATTTCTTTCTTAGTTCCTCTGTGAGGCATGCGTCGTCCTTCCAGGTTCCCTTCTTAGGTGACGAAGTCTTCGTTCATGGAAATCCTTGCTTGCCGGAGGAGGGTGTACACAACATTGGTCATGTTAATCTAACTTCGCATGTCACTCCTGAACCACCTTTGTCCTCTTTTCCAGTCAGATATGTACAGCCTGGGTGTGATCCTGCTGGAGCTCTTTCAGCCATTCGGGACGGAGATGGAACGAGCAGCGGTTCTAACAGGTGTAAGAACCGGTCGGACACCTGAGTCCCTCAGTAAAAGGTGCCCGGTGCAGGCCAAATATATCCAGCACCTGACCAGCAGGAACGCAGCCCAGAGACCATCTGCTCAGCAGCTGCTGCAGAGTGAACTTTTCCAAACTCCTGGGAATGTATGGAACTTTTAATTTTTTTTCCATTTAGTTTATTGGTACATTTTAGGTATATAATACAGTTACATTCATCATTGGGATCTTGTACCATGATGTATCTTGGTTCTTTTTTTTTCCCCATTCCCCTGCCCTCCCTTCACCCCCTCCACCCTTCCCTATTTGCAAAGACTTTGTTTCCATGTTTTTCCTTTTCTCATATTTTTTCTTTTCCCTTCTTTCCTTTCCCCTTCCCCTCCCACTTCCCCTATATGGAACTTTTTTTTTTAATACTGGGGGGAAACTACAAAGCTTTTAAAGTAGAATTTAAGTTGTTAATCCTATTTCACGAAGAACAGTCTAGCTTCAAATAAGGTTTATGTTTCTGGAAACAAAATAGTTAAACCTAGTGTTGGAGTTCCCTAACAGTATATCTAGTACGTACTAAGTTTATACCAAAAGCACATTTATATTCGTAGTTCCCCAAAACCAGGTGACTCACTGGCAATTGTCTATTTTAAAAAAGATGGTACAGCTAGGCGTGGTGGCACACACCTGTAATTCCAGCCCTCTGGGAGGCTGAGACAGGAAGATCATAAGTTTAAGCCCAGCCTAGGCAACTTAGTTTAGCAAGACTCTGTCTCAAAAAAAGAACAAAACAGGGCCGGGGATTTAGCCCAGTGGTTCCGTCGCCTGCTTTGCAAGCGCAAGGACCCGAGTTCGATCCCCAGTACCAAAAAACAAAACAAAACAAAACAAAACCAAACCAGTGATATAGCTTAGTCCAAAGATCCCAGGTTCAATCCCCCATGCTGCTGGGTGTATGCGCACACGCACACTTCCTTTCTAAATTGTTACAAAAGTACCTCCTAGTAAAAAGGGACACACACCAAAAGGTGTAAAATACGGCAGTAATTTTGAGGAGGAGTCGGAACAATGGTGGCAGAGACTGCCTTTGCCACTTTCTTTTTTTTGAGACAAGGTCTCACTATGCAGTTTGGTCTGGCTTTGAACTGACTGTATTGCCCAGGTTGGCCTTGAACTTGCAGTGATCCTGCCTTGGCCTCCCAAGTGCTGGGGTTACAGGCGTGCACCACCACACCAGGCTGCCTTCACCACTGAGAGCTTTCGGAGTTCAACTGTGTGATGCTGGGTCTTCAGTCCTCTGGTGTGGTATTGCTTCAGGGTGGTCCATTCCCTTCCTCCTTCCTGACACAAGGTCCATTGCCACATAGTCTGTGTACTGGAAAAGGAGGGTGACTCATCCACTCTATTCCTCCAGAGACTGTTGAGCTTTAATTAAAGCTGATTCTAAGGTATATTCACAACTTCGCTACACAGGTTATGGCCTAGACCAGTTGCAGCAGCACTACCTGGGGGCTCCACTAATGTTCTGAGTCAGAATCTGCAATTTAGCAGAGTTCCCAAGTGATCTGCACAGCTCTCCGGGTCAGCAGAAGTCCTCTGCAAACTGATAGAAGACTCCTCAGGCCTCTACAGTCTCCTGACCTACTAAGAGTCAGGGCTGGGGGAGAGGTGGGGGAGCAGGGGCCGTAGTAGTAGTGTAACAACATTCAGTAGTTTGGGAACCACGAGGAGTGTGTAGAAGAGACGCCAGGTGCAGTGCAGTGGTAGAATAGCATGTGTGAGGTCCTGGGCTCATTCCCAGGATCCCTCAAGAAAATCAGACAGTTGATTTGTCTTTGTGTAAGGCTTATTAATTTTCAGGTAAAATGTTTATAAACTTAAATGATGAAGAGGTAGATGTAATACTTTGCTCTTTGAAAAGTTTTTTGAAAACTGCATATGTGATACAGGTCTTAACCAGCTCATTTTTCTGTGACACTGTTTAACTTCAATTCACATTTGTTCCTAGCATCATCCCCTTTCATTACCTGGCTGCACTTTCATCTCTGCTGGCCAGTCTCTCTCATTTATCCATTTTTTTTTTTAGGGGGGTTACCAGGGATCGAACTCGGGACCTTGTGTGGCAGGCGCCAGAACCACTGAGCTAAATCCCTGGCCCACATTTATCCATTCTTTAACCACTTACCAGTCCAATTATTTAAATACATGATGACCAAAAACTGCATATTTTTTCATTAATTTTTATAACAGGAAATACAAAAATGACAATTTTATCCAATATATTCAATACAAGACTCGACTGGTTGAAATGACGCCTGCCTGAGCAATGCTTGGCATAGTGAGTGCCTAAACAAATGCGCTGCCCGAGTGATGCTTGGGGTAAACTGTTAAGTGGTTAAAAATTTCATAGGCTCTACTCCGGAAGACATGGAGACAGCACGCCCACATTGCTGTGAACTAAGAGGCAGTGACAGGTAACCGACAGACTTGACAGAAGCCACCTGACTGACCTTGGTGATGATGTGCTGTGGTTATTTACGTTTTGGGGCAGAGGGAAGCACACAGTTACAATAAATACAGTGGTATCTTGGTTCACAAACTTAATTTGTTCTATGATTTTGGAAAAGATGGCCATGTTCATGTTTGTGTGGGAAAGATGACCACAGTTGTGTTTGTCACCTGATGCAGTTTACAAACAAAAATAAAATTTTGCCAAATGCTTGTTTGTGAACCGAGGTACTACTATCCAGTGACAGCTGACACTAGCCATGCAATTAGGTGGCTGGTGATACTTGACAACTAAAATTCATAGACAGAAGGACTGCGAAGTGAGAACTACCTGTGTATTTAAAAGAGAAGTAGCCATTTTTATGAAGCTTAAAATTTTGTCTTTATAGGTGAATCTCACCCTACAGATGAAAATAATAGAGCAAGAAAAAGAAATTGAAGCACTGAAGAAGCAGCTAAGCCTCCTTTCTCAGGACAGAGGGGTAAAGGATGAAGACACACCATCCAGCCTTAACTAGGCTGTATCAGTAACATGAGAGCGGACTCTCAGAATAGTCATCTTGGATGTAAATTTTCAATCTTGAGTATACAGAATGTGACTTCTCGGTTGTATTTAATAACCTGTGCACGACTTCTATAAGCTGTAAAGGACACTTGGCTACCTTTCTTTCCTTTCTATTTCAAAATTGTAGGAAATTCTTGCCTAATTGGCAGTCCTCCTGGTATAGTTTGAGTGCAAATGATAGTGCTGAATTTTACATAAACCCAAACTCACAAATTAATATGATGATTTATTGATACTTGACAACTGGCCTAAATAAAAAGACTGATTCTGTTTACCACTCTCTTTACTGACAGTAGGTATGAGGCAGCACCATTCTTAAAATCAAAACCCTTTAAAACCAGTTACTGAAATTCACTCAAGGAGCTTGAGGGCAGTGTTGAAAGGGGCCAGGTTGTCACATGACTTCAGCCACCGCTGCACATTGGCAGGTGCAGCTGTGCTGCAGCCCCCAGTCTGCTGAAGCACAGACCAGAGCACCACGTCTGCCACAGTGAGCTCATTCCCGACCAGCCACGGGCTCTTCCCCAGAGCAGAGTTCATGGAGCGAAAAACAGCTGCTTTTTCTTTACTGCTCCCTTCTTTTAGCTGAAAAATAGCAATATCTACCCAGCTATCAATGAGGGTTAAGTTTACAGCATTGTGCTTCTGGCCAAATAGAGAGAACAAGAAACGTGCAATGTTCCCTTCTCCTTCGATGGGGCACATTGTCTGGACACTGAACTTCATCTGAGTCTTGGGCACTGAAAGAGAAAAACATGCCATGCAGTGTCAACCAGAGTACAGCTGCTGAGGGACATACTTGTGCTGTGTGGAAGGGGGAAGTCACAGATAATCACCAGAGTATTTTCCAACATCACATTTTATTTTTGGTACTGGGGATTGAACTCAGGACCTTGTGCTTGAGAGGCAGGCACTGGAACCACTGAGCTAAATCCCCAACATCACATTTTCTGTCTGTCTCCAAGAGTTAATATGCAAGTCTTAAAATGCAAACTATGATAAAAAAGTAACCAAGTACCCCTTTAAATTTTCAAGGTAGAAGGGACGTCAGACATCTTTTCTAACCCTTGTACTGAAGGATTTGGAGGCTGAGGACAGGAAACCAGGAGTCTCATATCCCAGACTTGGGACAGTTCTGCCCTTACAACTTCTGTCCATACGTGGGGCTGAGGGCAGTGAAGCATCATTCGAGGATGTTAACTCACTACTGTCTGTATAAACCTCACCAGGAGCAATGCACATCCCTGGGATTATGAATCAATGATATCCTGCCATTCTTTGAGGCCCATAGAAAAACATGAGTGTACCTGGAGCAAGTTTTAGAATGTGAAGGCCAGGGGCATGGGGAAATAGCTCAATGGTAGAGCACTTGCCTAGAATGTGAAGGCCAGAGGGCTGTGCCTGGTTGGACAGAAATCCCATCTCCAGTGCTCAGAATTCCCTGGAACTGTCTTGGAGAGGATCTGACCTGACAGAAAAGCTATAGTCTATGCTGCAGAACGTCTCATCTCTGCTGCCTTTTAGCAAAACCACGGCCTGCGTCTCATCACAGTTAAGTTCAACCTGGTCCTCTGTACTTACCATTCTTCCAAATTAAGGTGAAGCCCAGCTGATACTCATGACGGGCCTGTTTTCTAGTCTGTTCCCCAAAGCACTTGAGAAGGCTCTCAGGCACGCTCTTGACTGATGAGTGTGTGTGCACCGTGGACAGGACCCTGTAGCGCTCACAGAGCAGCCTGTGCAGCACAAGCAGGGAGAGGGGAGGTGAGGCCGGGTTTGCGTTGATCACGATGTCTTTCAGTGCCCCATAATCCTGGGGGAAGATCAGAATAGCACAGCAATGTGAGCAGTCTGAGTGTAATTTTACCAGGTACCACCCTAGGAACCTAACCAGGGTCATTTAATTGAATCCTTGGGCTCCCATGAGGCAGTCATCCTTAATACCCTCACTCAACAGCTGGGAAAACTGAGTCACGGGGAGGCAATAATTTATCCAAGGTTCACTGAACTCCATAAGCAGGGGAGCCGGAGTCTGGGCTGACTCCATGTCCTGACCCCTCCACTGCTGGCTGCCCACACAGAAAGAGTGGACTCTTAACACCAAGTTCACGTAACAGTGCGTCAGGGATGACACTTCGTCTTTTTTTCCTCTGAGTTATATACAACTGTGTCAAAGAGGTACACATACAATTCTTCCAGCCACCAAATCTAACGCTGTCCACGTGGCAGGAGGTAGTTTCTTCATCAAGATGTTTCAACGAAGAGCCCCTTGAAAGCAGGGTCTTGACTCTAGAGGTCACTGGCAATGCGGGGAAGAGGACAATGTGCACCATGAAGCGCTAAGTGCTGAGACGCGTAGCCATCTTAGAGGAGGATTTTATCTCTATTCTTTCTCTCTTAAGAAGGAACATCATGCTGGGTGTGGTGGTACACACCTCGAATCCCAGCACTCAGCACTATGATCCCAATCTCAGCTCGAGGAAGGACTGCTGAGTTCGAGGCTGGCCTGAACTACCAAGTGAGACCCTGTCTCAACAACAACAAAACACTGCTCATGCAGACTGTCACAGCCGGCAGTGTTTTGGCCTTTTCTCAAGAGCCTGCCACTCTTAGTGCCCTTAATACCAAGGTAGGCTGAATGCTTTGTAGTTTCCTGAACAGATCACATTACTTGATACTTTGCCCTCTAAGGTATCAAAATTTACCTTGAGCACCATGTGCTCTGAGGAGCCTTTCCGGCACAGTAAGAAATCACTGTGCATGCTCCCAGACTCACCTCGAGACTGGCTCCCTGGGGGCCTGGTCAGGTCTTGGCTGAGTCCTCAATACACAAAAACATGTATAGGATGAACGCATGGGCAGGGGAAGGAATACAGAGGCAGAGGCACTGAAGTTGCCAGAAGCAGAACCCTGGGCGAGACACTGCAACCTTGCTTCCATTTTTTAGGTCTTTGATTTGTACCATTCCATCACCAATTCTACAGAAAACTATTAGTAGGGAGTCTTAGGACAAACCCTTTGCACCCTCTGGTACAATATAGTGTACATAATGTGTATATATGGTACGATATATTACAATATCTTGTAAGATATTTTACAGTGCAAACATTCTTTGTGTATTAGATCGTCTCCTAAATTAGCTGAAGCCTATAAACAATTATGAAGGCTGGCTGACACAACCTACTTTAATAAAGCAAATTGAATTTAAGCAAAGACATCCAAAGTATGAGTGATTTTTAGCAATGTAGTACAAAAGGACTGATGGGATTTCTGTGCCCAGGCAGCCAGGCTGTGACAGATGTACTTCTATCAAACAGTTAAGGTCGCCTCTGCTGAGCCAAACCAACTGGGACCTGTTCCTCCGAGGCTCACAGGCTGCTGGACAGGCCTGAGATAGCAAGAAGCTGGGACTCTTGATTCTCCTCTGCCTCCCGCTCCTCGTTCTCCACTCTGTCTGAGAAGTCAAGAAGCAGCTTTGGAGCTTGCTTTGGCTTCACTCATGTCATGCAAACCTGTTCTATGCTGAGGCACAGTCATTTTGGGGCAAATAAAGATCAAGTGCTCCACCTTGAAAGCCAAGACAGAATCATGCTGGCACAATTTTCTGGCACTAACAACTATCTAGCACACAGATGGCTCTCGGCTTTTGAAACACACCTACCTTTCCAAGCACTGAATTCAAGTCCAATGCATTGGTCTTCAGAGCTGTGGGTTCATCCACTTGCATGATGTTGGTTACATCCACATCTGCATCTGGAGTGTGAATCATCTTGGAGAGACTATCAACTGCAGCTTTCAACTCGTACAAACGTTTTAAAATATCATCTTGGCGGGACTCGAGAGCTTGCAGAGAGGGGTCTAATGCTTCCTAAAGAAACCAACAACTGAGTAGTCATTTCCTCTCATGAAGCAGTCTGTCTAAATTTGATCACTTTTCTTACTTTGTCCCATGTGCTAACAAATGTTCTCTGTCCCTTTACAAGTTGGGTGTGGTGATGGGTGCCTTCAATCCCAGCACTGGGAGGCTGAGGCAGAAAGACTGAAAGTTTGAGCTCAGCCCAGGCAACTTAGTGATTTAGTAAGACCCTGTCAAAAAATAAAAAAGGGCTGGTGATGTAGTTCAATGCAAAGGCCTTGGGTTTAATCCCCAGTACTGTAAATACATACATCATACATTACACCAAAATGGCAGAGTTATTTTAAATAGGTCCTGCAAATCCAAATGTTCTAGAATAAAGAAAAAACGTGAATGAAAGTGACTTAGAAATGATGATTCTGATTTCAGGTAATTGAAGAACAGAGAACAGTAGAAAATAAACAAATCAGTCTTTAATATGTATGTATGGGGCTGGGGATCTAGCTCAGTGGTGTCGCTGCCTGCCTCACAAACACAAGGTCCCAAGTTCGAGCCCCGGTACCAAAACAAAAAACTTTTTTAAAAGTATGTATGGATATATGTATGTATTTATAAGAGACAAAATTTTACTATGTCATCCAGGCTGACCCCAAACTCCTGGGCTCAAGGGATCCTCTGTCTGCCTCAACCTCCTACTGCTCTGAGTATTGTTTTTTGTTTGTGGTAATGGGGATTGAACCCAAGGAGCACTGAGCTACATTCCTATCCCTTTTTATTATTTTATTCTGAGACAAGGTCTTGTTAAGTGGCCAAGACTGGCCTCGTACAGGAATTTGCCACTAGGCCAGGCCAGGATTCTTTAATAACAAATTAATTCAAAATAGTTTGTTTAAATAAGTAAAGATGGGGGGCACAATGAGAATGGAACTTAATCATTTATACAAATAAAAGGAAAAGGCAGCTTAGGTTTAAGAGGTCTCCTTCAGCACAGAAGCAGATCACTGGCACAGAAAAGTGATTTCCTAAATAATCTGTAAAGCAACACTGGCACCCTCTTGTCTTAGAATCACCTAGAACAGTGGTGGTGAATCTGTGGCATGTGTGCTGCTACGGGCATGCAGAGCCCTCCCTGTCCACACTTGAACCACGTTTTCCCAGCACTGCCTGTAGTGGAGCATGGAATAGCAGCACACAGAGGGGCCATATGCATGCTTGGAAAGCAGTAGCAGTGCCAGGCTGATGTCAGTGAGCCACAACTCATTAGTTGCCATTCATCTGAGCTATCGCAAACCTGGTCAGTATTCAGGTTTAACGGCAGTATTGGCACTCTGTGATAAATAAGTGGGTTTTAGATTTTGGGCACTCAGTCTCTAAAAGGTTCACCATCACTGATCTAGAACTTTTTCACTACTGAAATGTATAACTTCATGAAGCAGGAACTCTTAGGTCCCTCAGTCAGTAAGTCTGTCCTTCTTGCCTAGTAGTCACTGGTACAGAGTAACTAATAATATTTGCCTATAAATAAGTCTCAAGTTATGGACTTACTTTAAAAAACAATACCTAATAACCTCCCAATAAAGTCAAGTTGTACAACCTATATCCAATTCATGAGCTGTCATTAACAGGTAACCCACTTTGAGTTGAGAGACTACATTAAGCATGAGGAAAATGCCCACAGTCAGACAGAAGAGTCAAGAATATAAGGCCGGGGATTTAGCTCAGTGGTTCCGCACCTGACTTGCAAGTGTAAGGTCCTGAGTTTGATCCCCGGTACCAAAAAAAAAAAAAAAAAGAATATGGCTGTGCTCTTGAGTTTACTATACATAAGTACTCACAATACCGCGGGGGTGGAGGAGCACCGTATTTGCTCGTATCACGTGGGGAAGTCCAATGTCTTTAGGAACATTTGTTCTGCCAATGGTCATTCCCTACAACCCCTTCTCTCACATATCCTATTGATCACCAGGTGTTAGGAGTTTCACCTCCCAAATATTTTTGGAATCCCCTGACTTTTAAGCGTCTCCATTATCAGTGCCCAGGCACAGGTCACCATTGTTCACCTGGCCTGTTTTCTTACTGGTCCTTTGTACCCGGGCTGGTCCACTGCTGTGATCCATCTCCCTGAAGATGCCAGCCAGAGATTTTTTTTTTTAAATCTCACATTTTGTTACCACCTCCTTTGTGCTACCTTTTTAGGCTCTTAGGATACAAATTAAACTCTTAACATGGCTTAATAAGTACCTGTATGACTTGGACCCTGGCTCCTTCACCTTATAATTCTCTCACTTGTTCTGTGCTCTAACCGCACGGTACTGTGAGTTCCTAAACTCCCTCCTACCATAGGACCTTTATACATGCCATTCTGTCTTCTCTGGTTTGGTGAGTTCCTATTTACGGTTGAACTTAACCACCACTGTCTTACCTCTCCTAGACTGAGGCTCTGAAGTTTAGATAGGGAAGATAAGTAAGGCCACTAAATTCTGGATAGAACAAAGAATGAAAGATGCCAATTAAATAATTAGGTGCTGATGGAAATGTCTGAACACAAGATGTATGACAGGACTAGTACCTGTGTAATACTTTCATGTTACTCAATGGTAATCTTTCCAAATCTCATTTGTCCAGCCTATATTTGTGCATTGTTCTTTTTTTTTTGGTACCTGGGATTGAACTCGGGTCCTTGCGCTTGTGCAGCAGGCGGCGAAACCACTGAGCTAAATCCTCAGCCCATGTGTATTGTTCTTATACAGTCTTGTTCATTTCTACAAATGGCACCGGGATGTCAATCCCACCAGGGTCAAAGAAGCAGCCACCAGATTCAAAACACAGTACACACTGAAAATGCCTGGGGTGAGAACTGCACATGTAATGTGGTCTGTGATTTCTCAAATGGCTTGAGCTGGGTGCTCTTGATGTACTACCAAAATGCTTGAGGTAACTGCTTTATCTCATCGGTACTTTCCTATGTTGGCCTGTAGTTGTCCATGCTAGGACTAGACTGTGACTTATATATATATTTAGAAGCTGCTGATTTTTTGTGTGGCTCTCATTTGTACTAGATTCACTTGATTTTTAATTGTTTATCTATATTGTCATGTACCAGATAATTGCTAGAGCAGCAGGACTATGCATCTTCTAAGTAAGAAGTTCAATCAAAGCCCAAAAGAAGTCAGGCAGCAGACTTAAAACTTGGTGATGAATAATACATGACATCCCCCATTCCTGGGTTTTCTTTTTGGTTCCTTTGACTGTGCAGTTGAAGGGGCACTGGGCCATGGCTCTGTGGTAGTCTCTAGTTGAAGGAACACAGAATCATATCTGCTATTTTTGTCTTTAGCTCTGTGATGAAGCAACTGTTAATGTCATTGGGTTTCAAATTAACTTAACTACCTCCCTTCCAAACTAGGCAGAAAGCTATGAAGACAAAATGGAGGATAATACATAGCAGGAAAACTGACCACAAAAGATAATCCATTCATTTCCTGTCCCAACATTTTTCCACTGGAAACTTCTGATGTATATTTGCAATAAATAAAAGAGTGAAAGATCTGAGTTAAAGACTTCAAAAGATGTACAGTATTCAAAATGGCCAGGAAACATGAAAAGTCTCAACTTAGAAACCGAGGAAATCTAATCTGAAACTACATTAGGATGACTACATCAGTCCACCCACCAGCTTTGCAAGGCTTTTCCAAGGCTGATGAGAGGATAAGCCAGTATAACCACTTTAAGAAGTAATTTATCCAGTTAAAGGGGAAGACAGACCCCACTGGGCCAGCAATCTTGTTCCTTACTATATGCCCTATGCCAGCTCCTAAGAATACTCACTGCAGAATTACTCGTATCACCATAAATGGAAAACCACCCAGCGCTCACGAGCAGCAGGAGGGAGAGGTAATGGAACAGTCACACAGTGGAACAGCACACTGCAGAGAAAATGACTTCCTTGTTGCAACAAAATGACACAAGACTACAAAAAAAAAAGCCAGCCATTCAGATATAAGTAGGCTTCCACTTATATCAAGACAGCTAAAGATCCATAATTAGTTGTCAAAATAATAATAGAAAAGGAAAGATCTTTGGGGGCAAAGTTATAAAAGTGAGGCACTGATAATTGGTCGCCACCTTGGTGATGGTGACCCTGAGGTTCAGCCTGTAATTCCTCAAGATGATGAATTATTTGCTTTTCTGTGAGGCAAAGCTTTGTAATGAAAAAGTTTGACCATATGCCAAAAAAATAAAGATGGACAGACCTTTTAATAAACGGGTGTCTCATTGGCTGGCAGGGTCACCAGGGCTGGGTGGGGCTGGAGGCCGGGCTAGACTGGGCACCCACAGGTGGTTCCTGCCAGGTGAGATGCGCTGGCCAGGGTCGGAGCACCAGGGGGCCCACGGCCACTGCGGCACCAGCACCCTGGACCGCCGCGGGGTGATGGGGTAGGGCAAGGCCCGGCCACGGCGCGTGCGCACTGGGCGGGGGCCCACACTCCTACCTGCACGTGGCCCTCGTCGGGCGCGGGGCTGTTGGTCCTGCAGTGCACGTTGGGGAGCCGGTACATGCAAGTGGGAAGCTCTACACGCAGCGGAGCGCAGCCCCCGTGATAGGGCTTTACCTGGTACATCGGCATCGCGGGAACCAAAGGAAGGAAGGTGGCAACAGTGGGACCGTATGCCCAGAAACCGTCCACAACCACCACACACTGCGGCCACTTTTCCTTCTGACCCGAGATACTGGCGTTCGGGAAAACGCAGTTCTTGCACTATAATTGGCTCGGGTGTTAGGAGTCTTTGAGTCGACCTTTGATATATCCAATCAGCGAGAAGGAATTGTGGCCACCCCGCCCGGAAGGGGCGGGACTCGGTGGCAAAAGTAGCCAATGAATGGGCGGAAGATGCCCCATCCCCTTTGTGGGCGTGGCGGAGGGAACTCTTCCGGACGCTGGAGTCGTTTTTTTCCTCCATGGAGCGACCTGGGGACGCTAGGTGAGCGGGGCTGCGGTGTTCTCTCTGGTCTCCCTCTCTGAGGCCCGCGTCGTTCCAGGCCCCAAGAAAGGTTGGGAAATGGCGAGGCGCGTGGCCAGCCTGGTAGCAGCATTATTAGAGCCTGTCTTGGCGCCCTCGGGCTGCGGATGAGGGATGCTGGGTTCAGCCGCTCAGACGCCTTCAGAAGGAGGTGGGCCTGAAGCCGGAGCAGGACATCCCCGTAGAATGAACTCACTTCATCTTTACCTGGAGTCTGCCTGTCTTTAATTGTTGAGGGAAGAAGGAAGCTTCGAGGCGCACGCTGATTTGCATAGCTGCTCAGGTTTTAAAAATGAAAGAACCAGCGTCTGGGGCCCAGTGCTGGGGTTACTACAGGACTTGCCAGAGAACTCGATGGAAGCCGGTCGTAGTGGTCTCCTGTAATCCTAGCACTCTTGGAGCCCGAGGCAGGAGGATCGCAAGTTCGAGACCAACTTGGGCGACTTAGTAAGCCTATGTGTCAAAGAAAAAGGCTGGAGATGTACCTCCCTGCCAAGGCCCTAGGTTCAATCCCCATTTGGGGGGTGGGGGGGATTGCATTGTTTCTACTTGAGTATTTCATTTCTGGCAGTGAAGTAATACCGAATTGTGTTTAGCAACTCTTCGACCAACACAGGTGCGCTCAATGTCGAGAATTTAGCTTTCAGTACTTAAATGTCGTGCCCCTCCTCGAGTTCAAAATAAATACAAAAAATGGACCTGTAGTCTATAGTGTGTTACCAGATAAGTTAGTTTTCAGAGCTGGTTCCTATTTAATGTGAGATCATCCGCAGTTTAACATTATCGACAAACTTAAAAGTGAGAGTCTTTGCAAGTAGAATAAAGATTAAAGAGGTTTTTTTATTCTCTTTTTTAAATTCTCTTACTGTATGGGTTAATTGAAGGCGGGATATATGTTGGGTGCTTTGCGAAAGGTGCAAAGATTTCCAGGAAGGCGCCTATGTTCTATGATACCCGGGTTATGGAACGATTTACTGGGAAGTGCTACATTAATGAAAATGTGGAATACATCCTGGAGATGAGCAGGAGTTAGCCAGGCGGAGGAGGAAGGGGGGTGCAGTTGAGACAGAGTTGCTTACATACAAAGCAGTGTCTGTGAGCTTGTCATATTCAGAAAACAATTGTTTACTGTGATTAAAGTGGGAAACTTGGGGAAGAGCAATAGAGAATTGGGGGCCAGTCATGACTAAATTTTTTCATACTGAAGATTGAACCCAGAACCTTTGCACCCAGCACCCCCAACCCCTTATTTTGAGACAGTCTCACTGAGTTGCTAAGCTGTCCAGAGTGCTTGAGTTACAGGTGTGTGCCACCACTCCAGGCTTTATGACCAGATTTTAAACTTCATATAATAGGCAGAGGGGCACTAGTAACTTTTCAAGCCTAAAAATTATTTGACAAGATTTGTGATTTTAGAAACTTGGAGACAAAATAGTTGTAAAGCTGAAACCCATTACAGGAAGAACTTGGAGGGCTTTTGGCAAGTTAGCATTGGGTACCTTGGATTTGGATAGATATTTCAAAGTCAACTGTGGGGATTATTATCTTATGGTGGGCACCCACTTTCTTACATGGTTTGTCATAAACACTGTTTCTCGTCATACTCTTGTGTGGGAAGTGTTGCTTTTGCTTTTTGAGAAAAAATCCCATTGTTGTAAAAGATTACATAGTCTGAGGGATACAATATATTTCTTCCAGGTGAAAAACATGTATAATTATGTTTTAAATATTGAACCTGATGCATCTATTCAAAGGTATTTCTGACATATTTAAGGATTATAAAACAATACTTACATTTGTGAGTATAACAAGTGGGTGTGTGCACATAATCAGTAAAGGCTTAAACCCATTAATAATGGATGATTCATTTCTCACTGTTAAAATCAGGATGAAAATAGCTTTCTTGTTTTGTTTAAATACTTGCTTTGTTTCTTGATTTCTTTAGTACAGAACCTGCAAAAGCCATCAAAGCTATTGATGGGAAGTCAGTTCATCAGATTTGTTCTGGGCAAGTGGTACTGAGTCTCAGCACTGCTGTGAAGGAGTTGGTAGAAAATAGTGTGGATGCTGGTGCCACTAATATTGGTAAGTTTAGGAGAGTTTTAAGCAACAAGTTTATGCTTTTTTAATTAAGAAACGTGTGTTATTGTAATAAAGCAATCCAGTGTTGGTATGCCAATAAATTATTACTTTAATGTTAGCAATTAATTATGTCTCTAGTACTTGACAAGGTGGCAAGAATACTAATAGCAGTTAACTTTCACTCTGTTTTTACTGAGAGCTAGGCAGGCATTGTGCTAAGAATTACACATGGAAGGGCCAGAGATTTAGGTCAGTGGTGCTGCACCTGCCTCGCAAGTGCAAGGTCCTAAATTCAATCCCTGGCACTGGAAAAAAAAAAAAAAGGATTACACATGGAAGCTGGATGTGGTGGTGCACACCTGTAATCCCAGCACTCTGGAGGCCGAAGCGTGGGAGAGTCAGAGTTTGAGGCCAGCCTGAACTACATAGTGAGACCCTGTCTCAAAAAACGAAAAAAGAAAAAAGAAAAAGAATTATGCATAGAATATTTCATTTAATATGCAGAATAACTGAATTAGGAGTTATCACCATTATATTAATCAGGAAATTAAGGCATAAGAAATTTACTTTTTTTTTAGATTATAAAGCTAGTAAAATATCAGCTAGGAAGTCTGATCCAAAGGCTGTTCTCTTTAATGACTATGTTAAAATTACTCCTTTGCAAGAAATATTTTAAAATACTATTTAATTTGCATTACTCAGTAGCCCTGATGGCTTAAAATATACAAGATGTCGGCAGTACATTTAAGTAAAAGTGTAGCCGTGACACTTTGGTGTTGTATATCATTATAAAAGGTTTGGTTTTTTTTTTGTTTTTTTTTTTTTTTTACCATGGATCAGTCTTTAAGAAGTAAATATTTTAAATCTTTTAGATCTAAGGCTTAAAGACTATGGGGTGGATCTCATTGAAGTTTCAGACAATGGATGTGGGGTAGAAGAAGAAAACTTTGAAGCCTTAGGTAAGTTGAATTTTTCTAATCCTATTAAAAATAACTGGACCAAACATCCCAGAATTTCGAGAAACACTTAAATATTGCAAAAGCAACTTTTTAAACCCAGTTACTTGGTAGGTATTGTGTATAGTCATTCCTGTGTCACGTGAGACATTTTGGGCCTTACTTTACACTCTCTTTCAGCTTTGAAACACCACACTTCTAAGATTCAAGAGTTTGCCGATCTCACTCTGGTTGAAACTTTTGGCTTTCGGGGGGAAGCTCTGAGCTCACTCTGTGCACTGAGGTGATATAATATTTTTATCCATTAACTTGACTCCTTTCCCTTTGTATTCCATCCAGGCTGCAAGTGTATTGATAGGTGCCACCCACACCCCGGGAGGGACTTCCTTCTTTAGTAAATTCATTCAGCCACACCCAGAACTATGCTAATCCAGTTAGGGTACTAATCTGTATTCACACCCTAGATCCAGCCACCTCTGAAAAAGTCCCACCAATGAGCACCTGAGGCTTTGGGAGACATCTAGACCCAAGTCTTAACATTTTTTGGTTTTTTTTGTATTACTTGGGATTGAATGAACCTAGAGCCTCGGGCATGCTAGGCAGGTGCTCTACCACTGAGCTCCACACACAGCCATTATTATTTGTGAATAAATTTTGAGATCCTTTGTTGTTTTCCATTACAACCTGAAAAAGCTTTTATCAAAACAAAGGATTTATGGAAGTCTGTCTCACTAGTTTTTAGGCGTCCAACCTTGGATTTTTAGGATGACTCCTCACCCATTTAAACTCACTTGATTATATCAGAGGAATCTACACCTTTCAGAGTTTCAAGAGAAAGAAAAAATGGGGAAAAGAGTATATACTGTGTCCAGTCCTGTCTAACCAGATAGGCCGTGCTGCGTTCTCTTACAGTGATGTAACTATTTCTACGTGCCACATGTCTGCAAAGGTTGGGACTCGACTTGTGTTTGATCACAATGGGAAAATTGTCCAAAAAACCCCCTGTCCACGACCCAAAGGGACAACAGTCAGTGTACAGCAGTTATTTTATACACTACCTGTGCGCCATAAGGAATTTCAAAGGAATATTAAGAAGGTATGCTAAATTCACAGTCTCTCGTCTTCAGCATCAGTAGTGCAGTGTACATGAGTAAAAGGTTTATTAAAGATAATTACTCTTCAGTTAATTCTATTCCCTTGATTTTCTTTTTAAACAAGTGCTTTGTTTACTTTCTTCCATCAAGACTGAACTTTAGGATGGTTTACCTTTTTGTTTTGTGTTTTGAGTCCTTTAAGAAGTAACATTATTTATGCTAGGCAAGCATTCCAGTTCTTTTTTAAAAATTTTTACTTTGAAACAAGGTCTTGTTAAACTATCTGGGCTGGCCTCAGACTTGGGATCCTCCTGCCTCAGCCTGCTGAGTAGCTGGGATTATAGGCATGCACCATTGCACCTAGCTTGTACATATATTTTTTATAGTCCAAAGAATTGCTTAAGCATATGCAGCTAAAATCTTTTACTTGTAAAACACTTTGTGCTAAATGCAACTTGATTAAATTTTACAAAAATAGAGAAAATAACATGGTTTGTTTTTTTTTCATCTTAAGGGAAAAAATTAGAGCCCCAGAAAAATAGAGGAATATAGAAATTGTACTTGTCAGGGGTGGCCATTATTAACAGTTTATAAGCCTTTTTAGATATTTTTCAACTTCATATGGTTATAAAAACTCCATGATAAATATATCAGTGAAGGAAGGCAAGAAATACAAAATGTGCAGCATTGAAGTGTTTAAAATTGTATGTGTTAGAAAGTTGAAACTGTCTCTGCCTACTCTCTTGAGTTTGGTTTATATCCTTTAGGCTATAAATACCCTGTGTACAGGTAGTCTATATATATTTAGATATTTCTGAAATAATTAGGATCCTATCATATATACTGTGTGTAACTGACTTTTCACTTAGATACTGTAATTATTTGATCAGTGTGCACTATCCTATTCTTTGTCATTCCTCCATGATACAGATATATCATAATTTAGTTAGCTCCTTGCTGATGGTTGCTTAGCTTGTTTCTGATTTTTCACAGAGATTATTTCAGTGAATATTTTTGTTATATACCTTTGTATTCTTGTCTTTCTACAAGGATAGATCTCTTTAAAAAAAAAAAGGAAGGAAGAAGTTTCTAGGGCAGAGATTACAAGGTCAAAATGAACATCCTTTTTGATGCTTATATCAAGGACAGGTGGGAGGACAAAGACTAGGAGCCAAGGCTCGAGCCACCTTTCACAGCACATAGAGAGATACTTCTCCAGAGTTTACTCTGTCAATAATTCCTTCCCTGGTTTGCGAAATGGTATGAGAACCTTGAATTGGATCTTGTAACTTGAGCCATTTAATTCCTGTAAGATTAATGTTGAGTCTTGTGTTTGTTTTTTTAAATAGGAGTATGCCAGAATGGTCCAGGTCTTACATGCGTACTGTATCATTTCAGCAGGCATCCGTGTAAGTTGTACCAATCAGCTTGGACAAGGAAAGCGGCAGCCTGTGGTGTGCACAAGTGGCAGCACCAGCTTGAAGGAGAATATCGGCTCTGTGTTTGGGCAGAAGCAGGTAGTGGTGGCCAGTTCCTGAAAATATTTTATTCTGATTATGACAGGTTTCATTATCCTTTCTAGTAGAGTGCGAATAAAATATAAGAGCTCTTTCTTTGGGTTTTTTTTGGTACTGGGGATTGAACTCGGGTCCTTGCACTTTCACAGCAGCGGCGAAACCACTGAGCTAAATCCCTGGCCCCTGTTTTGTTTTTTTTTAACTTTTTTTTTTGGTACCAGGGATTGAACTTGGGACCTTGTGCTTGCCAGGTAGACATGGTGCCACTGAGCTATATTTCCGGCCCTAAGAATTATTTAAAAAAAAAAAAGATACCTGTCACGAAGTTAATATTTGAGAGCTGCATCTTTAACTCTCTTCCTCACTTGAACAAAACAAAGTATCATAGGCATTGTGTTGATTATGAACAAGAAGAGCTTGTGTGTTTCATTTTTTTAGTAAAAACAATCCTTTTATGGTACTGAAAGGCAATTGTCAGAATTCTTTGCTGAGTTTCTTTGTGCTTTTAAAGCAGGTGGCTTGGCTGGGAAGAAAACACATCTTCTCTGAGTGTTGGTCTGTTCCGTGTTTGTTAGGAAATAACCATGGCGCTTGGTTTCTTTCAGTTGCAAAGCCTCCTTCCTTTTGTTCAGCTGCCCCCTAGTGAATCTGTCTGTGAAGAGTATGGCCTGAGCTGTTCCGACACGCTGCCTGATCTGTTTCAGTAAGTAGATTGCTGCCAGAAGACAGACAGAAGGTGTTGTCTTTTTTCTTTTCAAATATGATTTTAAGGCTTTTTTTTTTTTTAGTATATGTTCAGCCAAAGCGAGCACTAAGGCTTATATTTTTATGTCCTGTGTAAAACTGGGCATTCTCACTGCTGAGAAAGAGGATTTAAAAGACTCAGTTACTTAATTCAAATAGTATTTTGGCTAACTGGTACATTGCAGGGGGGGTTCCTGCTGAATTAGTCTTTGTCAAGGCTGTTCAGTTAGAATAACTTTTTTTTTTTGGTATGGGGATTGAACTCAGGACCTTGTGCTTGCAAGGGAGGCGCCAGAACCACTGAGCTAAATCCCTGGCCCCTCAGTTAGAATAATTTTTACCTTATTTTATCTACGGTGTTTGACTTTTTGAGGATCTGATGAAGATAGTCTGGCATCCTTGTTTTTAGACACCATACAATAGATACTTCCTGAGCAGGACTGGCCTTGTGAAGATTCACACCCCTTACTCTTTCTTTGTCTACTTTTGGCTCATGTTTAAAATTAAAATAAAGATGGAAATTCATTTCTTTATGTTAAAGTTATGAAAATGCAGGCATCCCAGGGGTGGGTCTCATATAGAGCAAGCATGTCACTAGCACCTTAGTAGATGTACATTTGCTGACTGAAGACAGAATGTGGGCAGAGATCCTGTGTGCGAGTGGTTAGACTCCATGGGCAAGCCGGGGAGGACAGCACAGAGGGCTTGAAGAGTGTGTTGGGTGTGGACCGATCCTGACATGGGGGCCGGGGTGTAACAGGGAGGGCGAGAGGTGGGCTGGGCCAAGTCCATGGTGAGCCACTGCATTGCCTCCGAGGGAGTTTCGGCTGCATAAGCTTTGGGGCATTCAGAACACCTGGGCTGTGTGTGAATCCTTAAGACGACCCACAGGTGTACACAAACCGAATATGCCCCAGCACTCCAGCCGGTGTTTTTAGCTGTTTTAAGATTGTGCCTGCCCTGTGCCCGGTGTTCTAACCCTGTGCCCTCTGAAATAGTATCTCAGGCTTCGTCTCACGCGGCACGCATGGCGTTGGGAGGAGCGCAGCAGACAGACAGTTTTTCTTCATCAATCGGCGTCCTTGTGACCCAGCAAAGGTATTTACACATGTTTTGTATTAGTTTATGCTTATGTCTTTTTATTTCTGAATAATTTCATGGATTTTTCGTACACAAGCAATTTACATGGAACATGGGACTGACTCAGAAACATGACTTTAAAATCGTTTCAGGCATTTAAGAAAGTACATGGTTCTTTCAATTGTATATGTACCCATGTGCATATATGTGCATACATACATAAATATATCAAGTACATAATGGGCTGGGGATTTAGCTCAGTGGTTCTGGCACCTGCCTCGAAAGCGCAAGGTCCCAAGTTCGATTCCCAGTACCAAAAGAAAAAGAAAAACAAACAAAAATTAATTACCAGTGTATTCATTATCATAGAAACTATCACTGAAGAAAGGAAACATTTCAAAACATTTGCTGTCATCTAGGGTTTTCAGTGTGGATTGACCACGTGCGTGTATTTCTGTATTTTCTCTTCTTTCTCTCCATTTTCCAGGAAAATGAGGGGCTGGATTACCTCTGCCTCAGACTAAAAACTCATCTTCTTGATAGAATTATGTACATGGGTTTTAAGTAGTTCAGTTTTGCCTTTTGCATCTTTAGCAACTTTGTCGCTCAGTAGTATTTTTTTGTTTTATTTACTTGTAGCGGAGGTAAAAAGGAAGGGTAGGAGGGAGAGAGGTATAAGGGAGGATACTGGGGTGATACGATCAAATATGTTATATATATATTGCAGTGTGTGTGTATATATATATATAGATAGATAGATAGATAGATAGATGGTTTTTGTTTTTTTTGGTACTGGGGATCGAACCTAGGACCTTGAGCTTGCAAGGCAGGCAGCAGAACCACTGAGCTAAATCCCTGGCCCTGTCATATATATATGAATATGTCAGATTGATACTCAGTATTTTGTAAAATTAATAGGCACTAATAAAAGCATATTTTAAAAAATTTCCTTATAGCTATAAGATGTGATTTAGCCTCTAAAAGTTTACCACCTGTATTATAATTAGTATGATTTTATGGTTTACCTCTAATGCCATTTAATCTCATAATGTCATAGAAATATGTTACCAAGTACATTTAAATGTGCTTTCTGAACATTTAAATTGTACCTGCATTTTATTAAAGTTTGATAAAGAGCATCTTTAGGTTGGAAAAAGTTTGTTTTAGGTGTCTATGATTAAAAAATATCGCTTTGAGAGACATAAGGAAACTGAGTAATGGGTATATATTTGATTATGGGATACTTTCATAGGTGTGTGTATGTTATCAAATTGTACATTTCAAATATGTGCAGTTTACCTTAAGACCATGTTAAGTAAAGTATATCAGACACAAAGGTGAAAGTTACATAACTTCTCTTATTCGAGAAGCCCAAAGAATGAAGAGCAAAGGAAAAGACGAAGACAACATATTTTGATCATAGATCTAGGTCTTTTGTAAATTGGAAAGGAATCTAGAGGTGAAGAGAGGGGAAGGGGAATAAAAATTAAGATATGTTATGTACATGTAATCATTATGTACTACAAACATGTACTAGTAAGTAAAATATTAAATATATGCACTTTATTGTATATAAACTATATCTTAGTAAAGCTGTATACGTTTAATAAAATTTGATCCGTTTGGTGATAGGTTAGAATAGCATGTTGTTACAACAGTGAGAGAAGGGAATATTTATTCTTTTGTTGTTTTTTGGACAGGTCTCTAGACTTGTGAATGAGGTCTACCACATGTATAATCGACATCAATATCCTTTTGTTGTTCTTAACATTTCTGTTGATTCAGGTAGGTTCCACTGAGAATTCAATAAAATTGCTAACTTTTAAAAGAATAAAATGAAATTATAAAGTTTGGATGTGACTGGAAAGAGAATAATTTTGATTTTTATACAGACATTTCTGTTTTCTTCTTGAAACTGTATCAATTATATTAGTAGGAAAATGTCACTTTTTTAAACATTAATGAAGGGAGAAGGTAGATTCCTTGATTTTGAAAATAATTAAGTTTATACTGTAAGTTTATACTATATACTTTCTTCTGATTGCTAGAATTCTGACTTACTGTCATCTATTTTCTCTAGACTCTTAGAAATATATATGTGCTTACCTTAAAATATACACACCACACCTAGCCTTTGGGGTGAGAAAATAATCTGGTATCCTTTTCTTTATACTTAGATGTGAATATTTTCTTTTTTTTTTGGTACCAGAGATCAAACTCAGGACCTTGTGCTTGCCAGGCAGGCAGGGCACCACTGAGCTACATCCTCTACCCAACATTTTCTTTTTCATGTCATTAGTATTAAGAAACACAAGGGCCAGGGATGTAGCTCAGTGGTTTCGCTGCCTGCTGTGCAAGCGCAAGGACCTGAGTTCAATCCCCGGTACCAAAAAAAAAAAAAAAAGAAACATGACTTTAATGCCTATTGTATACTCCAGTGTTCCAGTCCATGGTTACACTTTGATTTTTTAAATGTTTTTTTGCTTATGGTGCTAGGGATCAAAGCTAAGGCCTGATGCATGCTAGACAAGTACTCTACCACTGAGCTACATCCCCAGCCCACTAATTCTTTTGTTTTTTTATATTTGTTTTCAGTTTTTGAAAATTATAAATACTGCCTTAATAATGAAATTATTGTCTGTTATCTTTTCTTTTTTTTTTTTTGGTACCGGGGATTGAACTCAGGTCCTTGCGCTTGCGAGGCAGGCGGCGGAACCACTGAGCTAAATCCCCAGCCCTATTGTCTGTATCTTTAAGGTAAATTCCTTGTGGTGGAATTGGGTCAGTGAATATGATTATTTTAAGGCTTTTTCTGTATTGCATTCTAGGCATATTGTACCAGTTCACGCATTTACCAACAATGATAGTACTAGCTATCATTTTTTAAACTAAATTCAATACGGGATAAAATACTTTAACTTACATTTTTTCTCTTAGACATCTTCATGTGTTTTCTATTACAGTGTACACATTCAACTTTTTTGTTTGGGTTTTTTTGTTTGGTTTGTTTGTTTTTGTTTTGACAGGGTCTTGCTCTGTAATTCAGGCTGGCCTTGAACTCACTGTGTAGCCCAGGCTGGCCTCGAACTCATGGCAATCCTGTCTCAGCTTCCCAAGTGCTGGGGTAACAGTCGTACGCTACCACACCCAGCATGGTGTGCCCATTCAAATCTTTACATATGTTGTTTGTTTAAAAAATAGTTCATGTTTTTTCTTGATTATTTGAAAAAGCTAATTTTATTTAAAAATTTTATTCATTCAATATGGTACTGGGGAGGGAACCCAGGGCCTTTGCACTGAACTGTATCTCCACCTTTTTTTATTTTGAAACATTGTCTTGCTAAGTTGCCTAGGTTGGGCTTGAACCTGTGATTCTTCTCCCTCACCCTCCCAGAGTGTTGGCATTACAGAAGTGGGCTGCCACACCTGGTACTAATTTTATAATCTGTGAATATTAATCTGAACACTGTAATGTTTTTAATAGTATTTTTAGTAAGAAGTAAATGAAATAGTAGATGGGTAAATTTCTATTGTTAAAGGTGAATTTAAACATTATAATGTATGTTCTTTTTCTCCTTAGAATGCGTTGATATCAATGTTACTCCAGATAAAAGGCAGATCTTACTACAAGAAGAGAAGCTTTTGTTGGCTATTTTAAAGACCTCTTTGATAGGAATGTTTGATGGTGATGTGAATAAACTTACTGTCAATCAGCAGCCACTGCTGGATAATGAAGGTAAGAAAAATGCAGTGATACAACAGTTTATAAAACTTTTAGCTATTGTGATTCTCCCCCCGACCCCAATTTTTTTTTTTTTTTTTGGTACCAGGGATCGAACTGAGGATTGAGCTCTCGGGACTGTGTGCTTTGGAGGCAGGCGGCGGAACCACTGAGCTAAATCCCCGGCTCCACCCCCCGAATATTTTTTGACATGAAACAAAATTTCTTTTAGAAAAGATATGTCACACTAGAAAGTATATAGCCACAGATTTAAGAAATCTGTTTAGAAAGAGGCATAAATGGGGCCAGGGATTTAGCTGTGGTTCCGCCGCCTGCCTCAAAAGCTCAAGGACCCGAGTTCGATCCCTGGTACCAAAAAAAAAAAAAAAGAGGCATAAATGACCACATTCTGCATACACAGGGCTATTCAATAATGTCTTTCTTAAGCTATAATGAGGGTTTTTCTATGTGAACAGATAATGTAATAGAAGATGGATGATGAGCTGAAGTCTGTACTGACTGTACGTTCTTAACTTTCTTGTTGTTGCCTTTACTGTGTATTTTTAATTATATTCGTAGTGGTAACCCTGGAGATAACAGTATGGCAATTTAATTCAGACTAATGGCAACTTTATTTCAACAGTATATAAAACCTTTGTTGCTACATAGCTCCCTTTTCTGATAATGTCATATACATTTTTGGCTTATTCATTGGGTCCCTGTCACCAAAGATTTATCATTTTTGCTTTATGTAGTTGTCTTTTAAGTCATATAGGGAGAAAAAGGATACACATTTAAAATATATTTATTTTATATTTACGTGTGTATATAATTACTTTTATCAGTCCTAATTTCCTCATGTCAATTTGAGTCACTATCCACTGTCCTTTTATTTCAGTCTGAGAGCCTCCCTTTTAGTATTTCTAATAGAGCAGCTCTACAGTAATGAATTCTTTCAGTCTTATCTTAGTATCTCCTTTTTTTCCCTTTTCTCTTTTTTGGTGCTGAGAGTCAAACCTCAGCCTTTTGCATGCTAAGCACATGCTCTACCACTGGGCTACACCTCCAGCCTCTCCTTCATTTTTGAAGGATAGTTCCATTGGATGCAGAATTCTCTGCTGACAGACTGTCTCTCAACACAGTGAATATGTCGTCCAGTTGCTTTCTGCTTTACACACTTTCTGATGAAAAATTATCTATAAATCTTGCTGAGGATCCCTTATGTGTGTGTGATGAATCACTTCTTGCTTTTTCAAGATTCTCTCTTTGTCCTTCTTCAGTTTGATCATGATGCATCTGGGTATAGATAGATCTCTTTGAATTTATCTTAGAGTTTGTTGAGTTCCTTAGATGTGTAGATTCCTGCCTCATGAAATATGGGAAGGTTTTGGCCATTATTTCTTAAAGTAATCTTTCTACCCCTCTGTCTTCCTCCTTTCCTGGGATACCTATCCTCTGTGGGTGTGATGGTACCCAACAGATCTCTTGGCCTCAGTTCATTTTTTATTCTTTTTCTTTCTGTTCCTCTGGCAGGATGATCCATCTTCAAGTTTGCTGTTCTTCTGCCTGATGAAATATTGAGCCTTTTACATACACTTTTTCAATTCTAGAATTTCTTTTCTTATAATTTCTATGTATGGAATTCTTATTTGGCAGAACATTGTTTTTGTATTTTCCCTTAGTTCTTGTCTTAGTCACTTTCTCATCGCTGAGACACAATACCTGGCACCCACAACTTAAAGAACAGGCTTCTTTTGGCTCACAGTATTGTAGAGGTTTCAGTCCATAGTCTGGTAACTCCAGGGCAGAAATGGCATGGAAGGGCCTGAGCAGAGGGTCACTGCTTACATCATGGCAGCCAGGAAACAGGACCAAAGGAGGAACCGGGAAGGGAGATAAACCCTTTCAGGTCATTTCCACAGTGACCCACCCCTTCTGACCATACCCTGCCTACCTCCTAACAGCCAGTCAGCCATAACGTCATAAACCAGTCACCTTTCTGAAGCCCCTTCTATGAGTGTATGAGGTTCTTAGGAGACATCTAGATATAACAGTTACTTAGATGTGGCTTCCTTTAGCTCTTTGAACACATTTAAAATCTGTCTAACCTGGCATGGTGGAGCTCATCTGTGGATGCTACTCAGGAGGCTGAGGCAGGAAGATCACAAGCTTGAAGCCAGTCTGGACAACTTATCAAAACTATCTACAAACAAAAAAGAGCGAGGCTGTAGCTCAGTGATAGAGTACCCTGGGTTCCATCCTCGGATGCAGGGAGGGGATGGACTCTGTCTAGTTAGGTCCCCATGTGCGCTTCTTCAAGGATAGTTTACACTGGCCACTTTTTTCATGTGTATGAGCCATACTTTCTTTGCATGTCTCTTTTTCTTTTGTAATGGTGGAAAACTAAACATTTAAATAATAGGATGTTGCAATTCTGGAAGTTAGATTCCCCTTCTGAGGGTTTGCTGTTTCTTGACTTTTCTGAAAAAGATCTCTGTAAAGCCTCTGTTTCTTGTCATATATGGCCACTGAAGTCCCTGTTCCATTAGCTTATTGGTTAACTAATTATTGCACAGGGATTTCTGTAAATGCCAAACCCACCTTGTCTCTGCGTCTTTGCTGAGGAGCTGTGTGTGTCACTGGGACACACCTTCAACACTTGGCCAGGAAGTTCACAAGCCTGCTTCAGTTTCACTTCCTGTTTGTGGTGAATATCAAGGTCAGCCATGGGTCGAGTTCAGGGCCTTCTTAGGCCTTTCCTAGGCCTGCAAGTAGCCTTGTAGATTCCCAGGTTGATACTGGAGCTTTTCAGAGTCCCTGTGGAGCTTTTATGGTCAGTCTGTTTTGTGCTCAGCTCTTCTCCAGTTGCAGGCAGTGCAGGTAAAAATCAGTTGCTTGAATAGATTTCATAGGAGGCCCTCAAGAAAGGAGCTTTCTACAGTGGAAGAACTCTTGAGTTGGGACAAACACGGACAGCCTTGCAGGTGGGTTGGGTGTTCAGAAACTGCTGGCCAGGGCAAATAATTGTTGTTCCCTGGGACATGAGGACATGAGGACATGAGGTTTCCACAAAGCTCCAGCTCCGTCCTGTCTCCTGCAGTGGTTGCCAGACCACTGGAGCTTTGCTCTGATCTTTGTCATACCACCCCGCCCCCTGTACTAGGAATTGAACCCACAACCTGTGCACTGAGCTACATCCTTGACCCTTTTTTATTTTGAGACAAGTTTTTGCTAAGGCTGGGCTCAAACTTGCAGTGTCCTGCTAAGGCTCCCAGAGTGCTGGGATTTTAGGTGTGCCTAGAGGCATGCATGGGATTAAAACCATGTTGGCCAGGGATTTAGCTCAGTGGCATTGTGCCTGCCTCGAAAGTTTAAGGTACTGAGTTCAATCTCAAGTATCGGAAGAAAAAAACAAAACAAACCAAAAAAACCATGCCCAGCTTCTATTGGTTTTCAAAGATAGTGCAGGGCCAGAAAGGAGGGACTGGGACCAGGCCAACTCAGAAGGCCCTGAAGCTTGATTTTCTTTTTTCTTTTTTAATTTTTTGAGGGTTTTTTGTCTGTTAGTTTGATTTTGAGACAAGGTTTTACTATGTAGTTCAAGCTGGCCTTGAACTTGTGGCAGTTCTCCTGCCTCAGACCCCCGAGTGCCGGGATTACAGCTGTGCGCCACCAAAAGCTTATATTTCTTACAAAGATTTGCAGTTTCTGTTGAATAAACATTTCCCAGTTGCTGCAAGCCTTTTATAATTCCAAAGTCCTGAAGAAGTTAACTGACAATTTTTGCTGTTTTCTCATTTTATGTATGAAGGAGGGAGTTTTTGGAGACCCTCACTCTGGATTTTCCCTGAGGTTACCCCATGCAGCTTGTACTGAGCGCTGTGTGGAGAGATGAGAGTCACCAGAGATGATGTGATATCTGTAGTGACATGCACAGTCATTGGTTCATTTTCTGGTCCTGTGTTCTCAGTTGCTTGTTGAAATAGCAAGTTATGTTTTTTGGGGGGGGTCGGGTACCGAGGATCAAACTCAGGATGTTGCACTTGCCAGGCAGGCATTGTGCCGCTGAGCTAAATACCTGGTCTGATAGCAAGTTATGTTTTTAGTCATTGAAACCAAGTACATCTGGTTGAGCAGAGAGGAGAGGGCACAGGTGAGCCCTAGCCTTCTTCCCTGGCAGCGGGGACAATCGGTGTTGGCCCTCTGGCGGCCAGCTCCACTCCGGGGCGAGATGGTATCCTCTCTAAGATCACGGGCCAGCTCTCCCGTCTGTGTGTCTGAATGTGGACAGATGGAAGCGGCAGCATCATGTCCTCAGTGGAGAGAGGGCCAGAGAGCCGCCGAGGAGGCTATAGTAGAAAGCTCCGATGAGAGACACCCGGTGCTCACACTGAGAGGAAAATGTGATGGGGCTTTATAAACTGAGGGCGCTGGGAGCCAGGTCTTCCCCAAGCATGAAGAGCAACCTCCTAGACCCCCACGTTTAAGGGGAGCAGGACACAGGGTGGGAACTGAGGGACTGCTCTCTGTCTTAACATTTCCTGGCGCCCCAAAGGTGGGTTGTGTCCAGAAGGAAGACAATGGGATAGACTCTTTTAGAGTGCCAGGGTGGGGAGTTGGGAGAATCTGAGGATGTGCTGGAGGCCAGAGGTTCCTGAGGAGGGGTGGGCTGCTGGGTAGTGGGAGCGGAGCACAGGAAATGAGTGTTTGTGTGGCAGAACTGCTGCCTGGTACGTGGAAGGTTCACACCTCTCCCAGCTGTAGTCTGCACGGGCGAGTTGGGGCATAGGGTCTGCATGTGGAGTGTGGCAGAGGGTGGTTGGCAGCACACACCACCGTGGAAGGGCCCAGTGTGCTGTCTACACTGTTTGCAGGACCCGGCTGGAAAGGCTGCCCCATAAGAGCAGCTGCAGTGTGAAACTTGGTTGAATCTGCTTATTTTTTAGCCATTTTATTGACGTGTAGCAACCACACAAAAGCACACATGCCATCATGTATGGATTAGAAATACCTTAGCTTAAGGTTTGGAAACAGCCCAAGTGCCCATCAACTGGAAACTGGATAAAGATGATGTGGGTTTTTTAATAAAATGGAGTACTACTCAGCCATAAAGAACGAGAAACTAGAGTCATTAGTAGCTAAATGGATGCATATTGAGGCCATACTCATAAGTGAAATAAATAGGACACACAGGTGTAAATACCAAATAGTTTCTCTAGAGTGAGAAACTGAAAGTGTAAATAAGGATGAAAATGATTAAAATGAATAAATGATAATTTGAAATAGGAAAAGGTCCAAAGGTGTAGGGCTGCCGGGAGGGGAAGGGGAAAGGGAAGAAAGGAAAGGAAAAATTACGTGAAAGAAAAAAGAAAAAAATGGAAATGAAATCTATGTAAATAGGGAAGGGTGGTGGGGGTGAAGGGCACAGAGGTAATGGGGAAAAAAATATGAACTAAGATACATCATGTTCGGGTACAAACACCCAATGCTAAATGTTAATGTACTATACACCTAAAATGGACCAATTGATACGTAAATAAAAATTAAAAAAAAAAAAGAAATCCCTTAGCTCTGAGCTCAAGAAATACCTTCCGCAGAACTCTCATGTGCCTCCTTTTCCTCCACCAACCCCGAGTGGTGCCCACTTTGCTGACTTTTTTTTTTTTTTTTTTGGTACCGGGGATCGAACTCAGGACTTTGCGCTTACAGGGCAGGTGCTGGAACCCCTGAGGATTTAGCTCCGGGGTCCCGTACTTTGCTGACTTTTAACAGCCTAGTTCTGTTTTTAATTTGAAGCCATTCAATCTTATTTGTTTACGGACTCGATTCAAAGCACATGTCACCATTCACACATTCATTTGTTCTCGTGAGCGTACAGTGTTCTGCTGTTTGAGTGTCTTTGTGGGTATTTGGGTTGTTTCCAGTTTGGACTACCATGAAGGAAGCTGTCTTGAGCAACCTCAGGCATGCATTCTAATGAGCAGAAGTGGGCATTTCTGAGTGGAGCAGCAGCACCACGTCACAGGTGTGCCCACGTTTAGGGTTAGGAGATGCCTACAGAGAGTTTTACCAAGGAGTTATACTAGTTTCACTACCATTGTTTAAGATTTCCACCTGATAGTCATCCTTGCAAACATTTGTTATTTTTCAGTTTTTACCCATTCTGGGGAATATATGACCAAACCATTTTGCAGTTTTATTTTGTGTTCTCTTTATGATTGACTTTGGACAGTGTTCATATGCTTAGCCACTTGGACCTCCTCTTGTCCCACTTCAGTGCAGTCCCTGACACTGTTCTTTGATCCTGTTTGCTTAGGTAACTTAGTAAAGATGGATGCAGCAGAAATGGAAAAGCCTCAGCTGGAAAAGCAGACCAATTCCCTTTCGTTAAGGGCTCGAGGGGAAGAAAGAAGGGCCGTGTCCATTTCCAGGCTCCGAGAGGCCTTTTCTCTTAGTCACAGCACAGATACCAAGTCTTGGGGCCTGGAGACTGCAGATCGGAGATGGAATTCTCTGAGAGTGAACGGAGGTGCACCATCTTTTGATTCCCCAGATCCTGTCTCTGCCTGGGGCTTGCTGGGTCCTCAGGAAGAGGTGATAAGTCCCAAGAAGGGCTCTGGTGACTCTGTGGACAGAGCAGAAACAGAGGAGGACTTGGGGCACAGCAGCACCTCAGCTGGCTCCAAGGAAGGGTTCAGCACTCCAGAAGCCAGGAGTCAGTGTAGCAGTGACCAAGCAGCGAGCTCCCCGGAAGACAGATTTCCACAGGGAAGTGTGGACTCCTGTGAGCAACTGCTCGACACAGACCGGCACCCCTCTGGCATGAGATACCATTTAGACCAAGATATTGGATATAAATTTAGAGCTTTGCCTGTGCAGACTGATTTCTCATCCTCAGACACCAAGCGTTTTAAAAAGGAAGAAATTCCCTCAATTGCTGACATTCCTCAAAAGTTGGTTAGTACTCAGAACATGTCAGGGACTCAGGTTGATGTAGCTGTTAAAATTAGTAAGAAAATAGTGCCCCTTACCTTTTCTATGAGTACTTTAGCTAAACGAATCAATCAGTTACATCACCAAAAACAACAGAATGAAGGTGAACAGAATTACAGGAGATTTAGGGCAAAGATTTGCCCTGGAGAAAACCAAGCAGCGGAAGATGAACTAAGGAAAGAGATCAGGTAAAGTTGGTTCTGAATGGTATTTTGGTCACAGCTGTGATTGGTTCTTTCGAGTGAATCAGCAGCTGATCCTTAGACTCAGTCTTGAGTATTTTGCTGTTACTGTTTTGTGGTGCTAGGGATCGAACCCCGGGTGTTCGTGCTGGCCTGCATCCCCAGCCCTTTATTTTTCATTTTGAAACAGGGTCTCACTGCGTTTCCTTGGCTGGGCTGAGACTTGTGATCCTCTGCCTCAGCCTCCCAGAGTGCAGGGCTGACAGGTGTGTGCCACCACCTTAGCTCTCAGGGGTCTTTGGCTGTCTTTCTTTACTTTCCACTTAGATGGAGTCTCCTGTCCGGCTTGGAGCTGGGCTCCAGCGTGGCCCTCCCTATGCAGTAGAATGGAGCCTCAGGATTCTGTTCCCTCTTAGGACAGCTGTACGGGGGCCTTCCCACCTTCACAGACTCCACCCCTTTCTGGTAGACTTGCTGCCCTCTCTTCCTACTTCCCCCCTCATTGCTCCCTCCCCCGGAGGCCAATGTTAGGATTGGTTTTGACTCCACAGATTGGTTGGCTTTGCCAGTGCACCCTCGTCAGTGCTTTTTCCATTACCCACTTCTCACTGCCTCTCACATATGTTAAGCGCTCTTTCTTTCACCATGCTCTACTGCTTGGAAGCATTCAAGATTTTTTTTTCCTTTAGATTTTCTCAGTATCTTTTCTATATTAATCCAAATTAAGCATAGACTTCTTGACTCCAATTTCATCATTTTCCTGAAAGCTTTCAGCCCACAGTGACTTCCAGGCATTGAATTTATGACCGTTTTGGTAGACATCACCATCTCCCATTTTTCATTTTAATGTGCAGAGAGCTGGGAAGTGGCACATGCCTGTCAACCCTGCACTCTAGGAGGCTGAGACAAGAGGATCACAAATTCTAGCCCAGCCAAATCAAGTTAGTGAGAGTTCAAATCAAGCTGCAAAGTTTTATTTCTTTTCCATTGTTTGTTTCAGCCAGATGCTGGTTGGTTCGTTTGTTTCTTTGTTTGTTGGTTTCATTACTGGGGATCAAACCCAGAGCCTTCACATTGAGCTATATCCCCAGACCTTTTTTTTTTTTTTTTTGAGACAGGATCTTGCTAAGTTGCTAAATTGGCCAGGATAGACTTGAACTTGCAATCCTCCTGCGTCATCCTCCCAGAAAGCTGGGATTTCAAGCGTATGCCACCATGCCTGGCACAGATACTTTTTTCCATAGGAGACAGATTGAACAAAGACACTGGTGACCTGCGTCTTGCAGCCAGCACAGGTTCTTCCCAAAGGTCATCCTGCTGGGCAGCCAGAGCAGATTCAGACAGTTCTGAAAGAGGTGGAGTCAGCCAGGAGAGGTGATCACTCGGCCAATCGCCAGCTTATTGGCTGGTGGCTCTGAGTGCACACATCTGTGAATGTGTAAGTGTTCTCCTTGTGCACTGCTAGATTTGAAGGTGTGCCGCAGACCAGCTGCAGTCGATGCAGGGTAGGAAGGGGAGAGGTCTCGGGCCGGCGAGTGAGAAAAGAACCTTCGAAAGCAATGTGCAGGCTCCCTCTGAGAAGTCTCAGGGTCTGATTTATTTTTATATCTTTAAGCACTAGCTAAGAGGCATTGGGCGGAACATGTTTACATTTTAGCTTGCCTTAGCAACATCTAGTGAGGTAAGGTTATTTTTACTAAACAGTATGTTTCTCTAAGCTGATTCACATCATCGAACAACATGAATACATTTCTTAAAAATCACAATTGTCCCCTTATTTTCCCAAACCTAAGCAGAACAGAAGGTAACTTAATCAAAATCTCCAGAGAGTAACTTAATTAGAATCTCTATAGCAGCGGGGGTACAAGCAAGATTTAATCAACTAAGTGTCAAACTTGTGGTCACCAGCTGGCCCTTGAGAAGCTGCACAACAGTTAATATAGTTTGCTATTAGCTCTCTACTTTCCTATACCTCTATTCATCTTGCTTAAGTGTTATTTGGGTTCATGGTCCATGAGCAGGAGATGTTTACAGTACTTTGAGAAAAACTGAGTAACTCGCCTCCTTAGTGTATTTACCTGTCCCAACTTTCTCTCTGTTTCCCATTTTCCACTATTCCTTACATCTAAAGTCTGTCCTATCGACCTCTTCATAAGACCCCTTTAGTAATAAGAAGGTCAGCAATGAGAGGGGGAGTCATAGTAGTGGGGAAACAGAGGGGGTTTTAGGAGAGGTTTCTTTAGGAGTGGATGTGGCAGTAGAACTAAGAGAAACTGGAATTTTGGGACTCTTGAGCCAGATCAGATTTCAATACATCATTGCCAATTTGCCTCATGGAGAGTTTGTTGTTAGTCACAAACACAGTGATTCCTGTGACCAGAGTAACAATTTTAAACATTATGGCATGAAAAAAATAAAACATGAGGGTGCGATGTGTTCCCCCCTCCTTTTCCCCAGCTGGAACTTTGTCAAGCAGCCTTGGAGGTCGGTTGGGCTTCGCCAAAGGTGCATCGAAGTGTGCTGGGAGACCCTCTCTCCTGGCTTCTGGGTGCTCTTTTCTCTTCCTCTTGCAGTGTAGTCACCATAGGAGCAGGAATCCCTGTGTGTAGTGCAGTCCAATCACCCTCCATCCACAGGCTGCAGCCCCTCCTGCTCCAGTGGGGCTTGGAATGTGGCCTCCACAGTGGGCCTCTTCCATTATCCCCAAGGAAAGCAGCTACTCTGCATGTGTTGCTTTCATACGTAGCTTAGTGGTTTGCCACCTTTTTATGCACTCGTAACTTCAGTATACATTTTCCTGTTCACATCACTGGTGTGTGTTTGTCTCTTGATTGGACTCTGACTAATAGGGAATTGGTATCCACGATGGTCCCAGGAGACAGACCCTCCAGACAGGATTTGGGGATTGGCTTGGTTGTGATGTGGGCTTAAACTCATTGCTGAGCTCTCTGCCAGTAAGGAATAGAGGGCTAGTCCCCATGGCACAAGGAGGGTCAACACTGGCCTGGGGGTGACGGTGATGAGGTGCTGACCTACACCCTGCCCCTGAGCCCCCGTAGTGGCTGCAGAAATGAGGATCACAAGTGCTGGTGGGCAGGCCTTCCCCAGTGCCCTGGAGCACTTTCAAAGCAAAATGCCAGGCTCCGCTCCTTGCATTGTCTCCTCAGGCCCCTGCCCGGCAGCTGGAGAGTTCTATGGCAGTACTGACAGTGTCATTGCTCGTGGCCACAGAGCTGACACTGGGGAAAAGCTGTTTTCACAAAATTTAATTGTGTGGGTTACGGGGTCACCATATTGATTTGCATGGGGAAGTTGACATGGTGTCTGTCTCCTCTGTTTTGACCTGTGTAGTGTTTACAGTACTCTTATATACTGTTGTGAGTCCAAACTTTTACAGATTTCTATCCCAAAAAGTGCATAATTCTACTTCTAGGGATTTATCTACAGAAACATTCCTACAAGTGATCAGGTTTTCTTGCAGCTTTGTGCACATTACTGAAATTGGAAACAGCGAAATGTCCTTTACTAGAGAATTTGTCAGACAAATTGTGGCCCAGCCACACAATGAATTTGCATAGGGCCATTATAAAGAATGAAATGCCTTATCTACTGTAGCTACAGGGCTGAAACTGGTAAAATTACATGGAGAATCTCATCCTGCAATTGGCTGAATTACAGTGCAAATTCAACTCCTGGCCCAGTGGTGGTGAACCTGTGGCACATGTGCTGCAGCCAGCTGTTGGTGTCATTGAAAGGTCTAAAAAGTTCACCATTGCTGTCCTGTCCTGTCTTGACATCTGCTATTAAGAAAGAAAAGATAGCTAGGGAAAAACCTGACTGCTAAGAAAATACATAATCATGAACAGGATGTTGGTAGGGCTGTTGCTGTGGCTTGAATATATTAGTCCCTGCAGAATTTATATGGTGGAACTTAACATGTTCCCCCGGCTTGAACCAACAGTGGTACATGCATGACTGTCTCGTTGGGCAGACGGCTTGTATCACCTGAGGGGATTGTCCCGTGCCACAGTCATGCATGTATCACCACTGGTACAGAGCCGGCTGGCAGCAAGACACAAATTACAGCCCCATTGTGAACATGTTAACATTAAGGTTGGGGCCTTTGCAGAAGTGTCGAAGAGACCTTGTCCCTTGTGAGTGGTTTAAATGGAATGAAGTGCCAGTGCATTTGCCCTTCCACCTTCTGCTGTGTAAGGACAACAGAGGGCAGCCCTCATCAGACAGTAAATCTGCCAGTGCCTCAATCTTGGAACTCTTATCCTCCAGATCTGTGACAGATAGATTTGTTTAAAAAAGTGAAATACATACATATATACAATATCTATGATGTGTTAAGTGATGCAAGTATGGTGGTACGAAGAATTAAAATTCCATTTTTTAAAAATTAAAAAATTATAAGCAAGGTGTATCAGGACACACACACACATATATATACACACATACACACCACACACATGTTCACAGACATATATGTACCAAATTTTTTTTTGGTATCAGGAATCGAACTCAGAACCTTGCAGGGGGCGCCGCTGAGCTACATCCCTGGCCACCAGATTGTTAATAATAGTAACTAATGTCATCTCTGGATAGTTGGATGAGTGAATAATTGGAAAGTGGCTATTGTTGAGATTATTTTATGTTTTATATTGCTTGATTTTTTTATGATCTTCTGTTTTATAATTGGAAGAATAATCTTTTGAAATGTCTTACAATTAATGTTTCCTACATTCAGTAAAACAATGTTTGCAGAAATGGAGATTGTAGGCCAGTTTAATTTGGGGTTCATAGTAACCAAGCTGAAGGAGGACATCTTCCTGGTGGACCAGCATGCCGCAGACGAGAAGTACAACTTCGAGATGCTGCAGCAGCACACAGCGCTCCAGGCGCAGAAGCTCATCGCGTAAGTTCACACGGTCTTCGGAATTTTCACTGCGCCCTCCCAGGTGTTTCCTTCATGTAAGATCGGAGTCCTGTATGTGTGTCTGTGTGAATACTTATATATCTTTTTTCCACAAGTGCCTGTAGAGCAGGATTTTTATTTATTTTGCAGTATGGGTTGGAGCCCAGGGCCTTCGCACTGAGCTACAACCCTACCCCTTATTTTAAATTGTGAGTATGACTCTTACGACCTGGGTTCGCACTTGCAGTCTCCCTGCATCAGCCTCCCAGAGTGCTGGGTTACAGGTGTGCCCAAGACACCTGGCTCCATATAACCCACTTTTGGACTTCTTATGCACTAGTAGTCATAGCTATGATTTACTGAGTACTTGCTGTGTGCCTGGCACTGTTGAAGAAATTCACAGGTATTTGCTCCTTTGATCTTCATAAACTACAAGGTATTACCATTGCCATTGCCATTTCACAGGTGACAAAGCTGAATAACCTGCCCAATGTTTGCTTTAGGTATTTTAGTTGGTTGGTTTTTTTGGTACCGGGGATCAAACTCAGGACGTTGTGCTTGCAAGGCAGGCAGCAGAACCACTGAGCTAAATGCCCAGCCCTGAACCTTTTTAGTTGTTTAAAAATGTTGCTCATTGGGCTGGGCATTTAGCTCAGTGGTTTCGCCGCCTGCTGCGCAAGCGCAAGGGCCTGAGTTCGATCCCTGGTACCAAAAAATAAAAAAATGTCGCTCACTGATGGGCCAGAAAACCCTTTTGGTGAAGACAACTGGGGCACGCTTATGTAGTATCCATACCTGCAGTGCGTAGACTGATGTGTTCAGAAAGGCAGCCGAGCCACAGGTCAGTCTTTGCCTCCAGAGCAGAGCAGTTTCAATGGGTGGACAGTCCTGCAAAATTTGGTATTTTCTTCTTTGTCAAATTGACTGCTTTTACTGACCTCTGTCCGAGAGGCCATGATGTAAAACAGAAATCTTGGGGCTAGGGATTTAGCTCAGTGGTTCCAGCGCCTGCAACGCAAGCGCAAGGTCCTGAGCTCAATCCCTGGTACCGGAAAAAAATCCCCTGAAAAACCCAGAAATCTTGTAAACCAGAAATCTTTTCTAAAGAAAAGTTACAAATCTGAGCACTGTGGTCCGCACCTATAACCCAGCACTTTGGGAAGCTGAGGCAGGAGGATTGAGAGTTTGGACCCTGCCTGGGCAACTTGGTGAGACCCTGTCTCAAAATAAAAAATAAAAAGAGCCGGGGATGGAGCTCAGTATAAAGGCCCTGGGTTCAACCCCTAGGTACCACACACATAAATATAAGAGGAGGGCATGGATTTTCATTGGGTAGAACTAAACTATGTAGAAATATAAACTGGGACTGCAACAGATGTGCATCTGGCCTGGGGAAATATGCCGCTAAGTAGTAACTCACCTTGGAAAATATATCTGGTTTACTGAGTACTCTATTTCCTATAGAATGTTTTAATTGAATTCACTTTTAGTAGGAGTAAATGGTAATAACGAAACCATTTGGTAAATTACTGTATAACACTGAGATACTGCTGCCGCTCTCACAGATTTCTTTCTTAGCCATTTTGCATAAATAAGGCCTCGTGTGGCATTGCAGGTTGACCTAGGTAATTACAGTGTACTTTGGGTCCCAGGTGGGCTACACTTCAGGATTAAAGGATAAAGGCCAAAATTCTACCCTGCCTTGTGCTCGCTTTGGCAGCACATATACTAAGAGTTTTACCCTGCCTATAATCCTGTGCAGTTAGGCACATTGACTTTCATTTATTTTATTTTGTTTTTTCTTTTATTTTGTTTTTTTTTGGTACTGGGGATCAAACTCAGGTCCTTGCGCTTTCGGGGCAGGCGGCGGAACCACTGAGCTAAATGTACGGCCCCTCACATTGACTTTCTTAGCATTTCCTAAATCCTCTTCTGTTTATTCCTTACACTTGTGCCTCTAGAGCCCTTAAGAATGAAGTTTATCTTTTGTGTGTGACGCTGGGAACATCAGCAGTCCCTTGGAGGGAGCAGTTTTGCAAAAGTTGTCTCTGCCTGGAACACTCATCCTGCACCCACTCTCTCCCTCTATTATCTGAGTCACTGCCTTATTCCCAGAGCTCAGTTCAAAGTTTACCTCCCTACGGGGAGAGGAATCCTTCCTCAGTCCCAGGGCCAAATCTCACTTGTTGTACAAGTGTGCTCTTAACAGCACTGGTGTTTTATTTTTCTGATTCTCGTTTTGCTAGTGGTTTTAATTGATTTGACTGTTCAGTATCTTTCTTTCCTACTAATCTAGGCCAGAGACTGAGTTTGATTTTGCTCACCATGCTGCCTCCTACGTTTATTAGAATTTGTCTTATTAAGCCTTCCATAAAGCTAGTAGGAAGATGGATGGATGGATAAGTAATACCGGTAGAGGAAGGAGCAGGATAGCAAAATACTTGTTCTCTAATCAGTGTTTTCAAATGCCAGTAATGAGCCAACCCAGCTTTTCAACTTAGCTTTATTGTAAAGAGAAAGAATAGCTTTTTTTTTTTGGTACTGAGGATCAAACTCCAGACCTTGTGCTTGTGAGGCAGGTGTGGTGCCACTGACTGAGCTAAATCCCCGGCCCAAGAATACCATTTTTGGTACATTGTTATCCTTTTTTTTTTTTTGGTACTGGGGATCAAACTCCGATCCTTGTGCTTGTGAGGCAGGCGGTGGAACCACTGAGCTAAATCCCCAGCCCTGGTACATTGTTATCCTTAAGGAGAGGATCCAAAAGAAAACTTAAGGGGCCAGGGATTTAGCTCAGTGGTTTCGCTGCCTGCTGCGTAAGAGCAAGGACCCGAGTTCGATCCCCAGTACCAAAAAAAAAAAGTAGCAAAAGAAGACTTAAGTCATCGATGAGATAATCAGATTGAAAAGAAACCAAAGTACTTTTGTAGCTACTTTAACCTCTGAAAAAGAACCTTATAAGGAGAAGAAAACCAGCGCTGTTCCTGCCTCATAAGCACAACCTGAGTTTGATCCCTGGTACCAAAAAACCCCAAGAAAACCAGAAGGAACTCTGACACTTAGCTGAATACTGGAAAGGTATAGAGCTGAAAAGTGATTTTCATGTTGTGTTTTTTAAATGAATTTAAAGTATCAGTATCATTTCACTTTTCAGCTTTATAGGTACATGTTTTGACTTCAAGCTGTAGTTTGAATCTCTTGTTTTTCAGACCTCAGACTCTCAACTTAACTGCCATCAATGAAGCTGTCCTGATAGAAAATTTGGAAATATTCAGAAAGAATGGGTTTGATTTTGTCATTGATGAAAGTGGTAAGTTATTAATTAGGGCTAAGAATTGTCTTTTTAGAGCTAGGAACAATTTTAAGTTTATATAGATCAGTCTCCGTTTTATAAGAGACGAACAAAGTTCCCTCAAAAAAACATTTTGGGTCTGCTTCTCCTTCAGATGTTTATTATAAGTAGCAATCAAGTGACACACATTTCTTAAATAATAAGATTTTTCTTAAAATGTTCTTCTTTTTAGCTCCAGTCACTAAAAGGGCTAAATTGATTTCCTTGCCAACTAGTAAAAACTGGACCTTTGGACCCCAAGATATAGATGAACTGATCTTCATGCTAAGTGACAGCCCTGGAGTCATGTGCCGGCCCTCCCGAGTCAGACAGATGTTCGCCTCCAGAGCCTGCCGGAAGTCTGTAAGTAGAGCAAGCCCGGCTGCCAGGCACACGCAGGTCTGCTCATGCTGGTGGTCCAGGGAGGTTCTCAGTTCAGCTCCTGATTTGGTCTGGAGCCTCCATCATACATGGAGAGCCATATTGTCTCTTTCAATACAATGTACTAGCTGTTGGGTCTGCATTATCTTTGACCGCTGACTCATACTTACTGCTTTCTCTACTTCTGTGAAGTGATGTTCCATCTCAGCTTTAATCTGTCCCCACACAGTTAGCTCTATGTATACCTTGTTCATCCTGGCCCTTATGGGTAATTAATTCCAGCATCGGTCAAGCAAGATTTGTGGCTGCCAGGCTGAGATGATGTAGCACACGCTCCTGCAGGGTCAGTGAGTCGGTGTTCTATGGGGGCTATGTGAAGGCATCCATTTGTGTCCCTGCCACCACTCAGATGGTTGATGGAGAGTCGTAGCAATGGCTGGGTGCCCAGTGTGCTTTAAAGTAAGTGAGTGTCACCTGGCTACATTTCTTTCTTTATTGGACAGACATTTCTTGAGCCCCCACAGTGTAGCTTGCCCTGTTCCAGGTGATAGAACACAGAGATAACTAGACAGGTGAGGTCCTTGCCCATGTGGAGGTAATAGTTCAGTGGGGGAAATGGGCACAAAAATCAGTGACAGAGGTCACCAAGTAAAGAAATTCAGACAGCATGTTGGGGTAGGGAGTGACCATAGAATGAGGTGAACGGGAGGGAGGCAGTCGGGAGCAGCTGTGTGAAGGGTGAGGTCCGATCCCCTTGGGCAAGGGCTTTCTGGATAGAAGAAAGACCAAGTGTCAAGGCTGGGAGGCTTTGAGCAAAGCCAAAGGTTGCCTGGAGAGGGCTGAGAGAGAGTGCATGGCGGCCCGAGGATGGCTGTGTGCCTCTTGTGGTGGGAGCTGGCGGGCAGAGAACTGCCATGTGGTTCTAGCCTGGGAGTTAAGGCTGGGGAGGGCAGGGGAGGGGCCAGAGCTCCGTGGAAGATGAGTGATAGGTGAGGCCACATTCACTTCCAAGTGGGGTGTCAGCAGGCAGCACATATGTGAGTCTAGGCCTCAAGGGACGTGTCGGGGTCACAGATCACGCTCAGATGGAATTCCCAGCCTCCTCGGGTGAAATTACTCTGCAGAAGAGTGTAATTAGAAGAGCGCCCCAAACTTGAGTTGCAGGCACAGGTGCTTGTTTGGTGAAGACTTCATACTGACCTTCCGTCTCAGAGTCTGAGCCGGCGTCAGTGGGCGTGGCCAGTGCTCGTCGCCAAGCACTGTAAGAGATGACTCAGAGGGCTGTGGATCTGCACCTGCACCTCCCCTCCCATCCTGCTTTGATTCTTCCTGTCTCGCTTGCCGGCCCTCATGGGCTTTCTTCTGTCCTGCTCCATTTTGCTCCAGGCATGCTGGCTGCCGGCCATTTGGCTCCTGCCTGCCTCATACCCTTTCTGCTATTCCCCTGCCTGGACCTGCCACCTCTGCTTCTCTCACGTCTGGCTTCCTCCCCACCATGTGTGACACTTTTCTTACATCTGTTACCTTGTTTATTGTATGTCTGCAATGGGTTAGGGCCCTCCTCTACCTGAAGCCTTGGGCTGTGCTAGTGCCTCGTGCTATAGGAGGAAAGGTAGTGCCCAACAGGTTTGGGCTTGTCCCCCTCCATCTGTCCCTGTTCTTCAGGGTCACAGCATCTCAGTCTGTGTTGTGTTGTCTGTTCCCCTCCATGTACATGTCAGAAAGTGAGCAGGGCTGGAGAGGGGAACAGGTGTGCTCCTCCATTGAGAGTGGGCCAGGCCCTTTGAGCAGGAGTCCGAGGAGGGGGAAGTGTGGCCCAGGGACACCCAGGTCCATGGTCCATGAGGAACAAACAGCACCGCTGTGGCTCAGGGGGGCTGTGCATGCAGGGAGGCACAGGCATGAAGTCTAGTAAGGGTGCATTAGTGGGTGACAGGAGCAAGGAAGAGCACAGAGCGACCTGGCAATGTGCCTTTGACCCTGCTGCTGGCTGAGAAGAGCATATGGCATGCTGGTGTTGGTGGGACGCAGATGAGAGGTGCTGGATGCTGGAGCTGCTGAGAGTGCTTGGCTTGTAGACAGGTCAGGTTGGCATCTCCCGGAGAGCTGGTGCTACTATGCCAGAGTCTTGGAGCCCCTGAGCCCACAGAAAGGCGGGGGCCGGAGGTTTTTGGGGAAAGGTGTTTCAGGGATTGTTGGTGAGCTCCTGTAGCCTTGTCCAGTCTTAGAGAAGAGTGCTTCTGAAGAGCACATTAAAACCGCAAACCATTGTGTCTTGTACTCAGGTGATGATTGGAACTGCTCTTAACACAAGCGAGATGAAGAAGCTTATTGTCCACATGGGCGAGATGGACCACCCCTGGAACTGTCCCCATGGAAGGCCAACCATGAGGCACATTGCCAATCTGGAAGTCATTTCTCAGAACTGACACTTCTCACTTCCGAGAATTAGAAATTTTATTGCAGACTTTTCTGTTTTGAAAGACAGGGTCTGAAGTAACCTTTTGTTTTCTTTTGTTTTTTGTTTCAAAATTAACCTGCTACTTTAAAAAAATGTACCAGATCAATTTAAAAATGATCTCAAACTGGATGCAGTGGCTTGTGCCTGTTGGGAGGCTGAGGTGGGAGGATCACTAGAGCACAAGAGTTCCAGACCAGCTGGGGCAACATAGTGAGACCCCTGCCCCAGAAAAGAAAAGATCCTGAGAATTTTTTCAGACCATGTGAAGCATTGCTTGGAACCGTCCTTGTTCTGTATTTGAATACGTGTGTGAGAGAGAGAGAGAGAG